TTAAATAACAAGAAGCCATAAACTTCCTTTAGACAACCTTAATAAAGAAAGAAGATCAAACATCAAAGTGATAAAAGTCTCACTGCAAAATATGGTAAAAAATTTCTGAAACATGCACAAGTGTAATTTTGCCAAAGATGCAACTCAAGGTTAATTTCTCAAACCTTTGGATTGTTCTTTAATTATAGGAAGAAAAAAATAGAGACAAAAATAGTTTTATTTGTTTTAAAAAAAAAAGATAAGTCCAACATGAATTCAGAAAAACTGCTGTAAACTTTTCTGACACAAAATTTTTTCAACCATATGTCTCTTTTTAGGCTCTTTTTATTTTAATTTTTCATTTTAAATATTAAAAATTGTTGGGTATAGTATAACTTTTATCAAAGAAAAGTTGAGGATGGTCTGAAATTTGAATCATTCATTCATTATTACCTGCTTTTAATGGCTTTGGTGGAAGGCAGTGATGTGACAAATCTGTATAGCATTTTCTCTGTAGTGGTATGTTAGGACTACAATGAAATTTTGCCCTACTCATTTTACCCTCCTCTTCTATGAAAGTTGAAAATCAAGGAAACATTTTTTTTTTTTTTAATTTATAAAATACATACTTCATACTTTCTTAAAGTATACATACAGAGTATATATTTGTCCAAATGAGCTACAAGGATACTCTGTATAAATTAGTACTAATAAAAACGGGAATTGGTGGGCCCTAACTTACTCCTACAAAGTGACTTGTTCTTGCCTTCTTGGCCATCCATCAGAGTATGTAAGCTTGCTACATGGACCCTATAGTTTTTGATTATTTGAAAAGGGCCCCACATTTATACATATATGTACCATAAGTTATATGCAGTGTTTTCAGACCTTCCAAGAATAGTGTTATTTACCCCTCTTATTAATACCAACTTATAATGAGCAGTTAGCTAAGAGTTTTTATATCATATGCAAGATAATAGTAAAGAGATAAGAGGAAACAAATCAAAATCCAATGTGATTGAGACTTGAGAGTTTACTGAATATGTATATGGAGCCAAAGTTTTTAGAGATTGAAATTGATGTGTCTATATTCTTATTGAGTGACTTATATATAATTGATTAATTGGCGTATGTGAAAAGTCACTATAAAAGTTCCCGATTTGGGCTAAAGAAATTTGATATGGCTAGTTGGTTGTAATGTTAATCAACGTTCTTAAACAAAAGTTTCTCAAAATGATAATACTAATTAAGGTCTGATTAATTAGTTGTTGATGATAAGCCCTACTAAAATTCAAAGAAAAAGAAGGAATATTTATTAGTTGATATACTTTGGCTATGAAAGTGAGTGATAATTAGTTCTACCTTTGGAAAAGATATAACAGAGTTTTGATGATTGAGGAAACCTCTGTGGAAGTATATAGAAGTTGTTGTCAATCATTAGTTGTTTTCTGACAATGAAATCATGAGTTGATGATGTTGAGTGAAGTTTAATTTGATGAGTTTTCTAGTTAAATAAAAGGAGAATTATACAACAATTATTTTATTCTTCAATTTATTAACTTGATTAATAACACAAGTTTATTTTTAGTTTAGCATAGACATTTTGGCTTTTATGGTGCTATGATATACCTTACTAGCTTAGTTTTGTTTGGATAGCTAGCAAAAATAACAATAATACTTGAATATTGGTAATAATGGGTAAGAGGAAATACTAATTATTACATTTCAAAAAAAAAAAATACTAATTATTAAATAATCTTTATATTACCTTCGTTAATTATTATGTGCGACAAAGGGGGTATTATTTGTGAGACAATGGGGTATTATTTTGTGCGACATAATAATTAACGGAGGTAGTATTATGATTTGTTGATGCGAGGCAAGAACGAAAGTGTTAATGATTCGTTGTATATGTGCCAATACGTATGACATATTGACTGATAAGTACGCACCACCTAAAAAGTTAAAATTGATTAGAATTAATATTTTGCTTAAATGAAATGTGCTTGAAAGATAATTTTCAATGTAAATGATTAATGATAAGACATCTGTATTTAAAGAATATTGCTTTTATTATCACAGATCTTATAGAATGAATGTCATTAACTCTGAGAAAAAAAACACAACTACCTCCTGCATGCAAGACTATGCTGCAACTGATTGAATAAATCAATTATTTCTTCTAGGTAGCTTAATTATTTAATTAATTATGAAAATTAAATACATTGATAATGGCCGTAAATTTGGACATTAAATGGTTTAATTTCTTTTAAGCTTTTAATTGGCTAGCCAATAACTTTGGATTTTTTGTTTATGTTTTGACTCTTAAAGTTAGAGATCGTATGAAAAGGTAGTTGGACTGAACTTGAGATCTGCAATGTGCTCTATTTGCCTATTAGTCCTACATGATACATAAATATAGTATTAATTCTTTAAATTTGACTAAGCAGTGCAAAATTAATGTTTAAGAGTACTTTTATAGAATATAAAAATATCATGATAGAGGATTTATTAGTTATCAAACAATTACATTTCAATTAATAACCGGCATTGACAAGGATCAAAATGGTTAGACTTAATAATTTACAATTGATTAAGATCATACCGAGAATTTGATTTTGGTTTGTAAAATTGTATTCTTAACAAGATGATTAGCCGAATCACGGGATTAATAGCCATCAGATATGAATTATGAAGTACACTTTATGTAATAAAAACTATGTTTAGTTGTGTAATTAAAGAAGTTATGGAGAGTATGAAGCATGCAAGAATATAATGGGTACAGGCTAAGACAGACATTTTTATTTCTGGGCTAGATCATGGGTTGGGCTAGATGGGCTTTCTAATTCTTGTGTTGTAGTGATGATTTGGGTTGGGCCCATATGTGTTTTTCTCATTTTTGCAGAACATAATGTGCTGGGCTGCTTGAGCTCAATTCGATCACACAATTGGGCTTTAAATGCAAAGAAGCTGTCTAAGGTATGTAAATTAACGTGGCCCCATAATTTTGCTTCCTTGTACATCTAAGTTTCAACCAAGAAATTACTATGCACGTAAGTAGAGTATATCCGTGCTAATGCACAAGGTATGTTGCTTACAAGCATCATTGTTTTCTTCTTTTATTTTACACTAGATGAAAGCCCGTGCGATGCACGGTTTTTTATACATAAAATATTAAATCACACAAAAAAAATAATTTTTGTAATTAGATCATACTCATAACATTTTGATTAATTTGCTATTGTTTGTTAAGGATAATCTTTTTTTTTATTAATTAATGTAATTTATTCCCCATAATAAATATTTTGATAAGAACATTAAAAAAATAACAAAAAATATTAGATACACATAAATATAGATAAGAATCATTATTAAAAAATAATAAAAACATGTATTCCATTATTTATCTTCTATTTCAATTGAATCACCAATTTCATTCACAACCATATCTACCCCATCTAATAAAAGTGGATAAATTGCACACAGAAATATTAGCAAAAATAAATTGATATAAAATTAATCTTTTTAATTTTACAAAATAAATCAATATATTTACCCAGAAGTGAAAAATTGTTGCAAAATTGATCTAAAAATTGTAATTTTACAAAATTAAATCTATGCATTGAAAGTTTTTTTAAGGAGAAAACTTTTCGTTCAATAAATTTTGGACGAAAGTGTTGAACAGAGTTGGCTATAATCGGGGCATGAAAGTATAGTAATCACCCTGTAATTAAAAATTAAAAAATTAAGTTAATTGAATGACTTGATTAAGCTACCTCAATCACAAAAATTTTTGTTTTAATAAAATTAATTAATAAAAACTAAAAAAGGTAAATTTAATAAATGTAAACAATTTATAAGATATAATACCTCATCGTTCAATAGAACCATATCCAAACTTATTAAGCTATCTTGTTTGCGAAAGGTAAGTATGTCAAACAGGCGAGCGAGAAACTCGTATTTTGATTTTTCAATCATTTTTACTCGAATTTAATTCTCTAATTAAATTAGATCTTCATAAACAAAATTCAGTAAACAAAACATAAATATATAATCGTTAACTATCCCAAATAAACACAATGTAAGCAATAGTTACAAATATAAATTTAAACATGGATTTTAAAAATTAAGCTAAGAATTACCCAGCCATTGATGATCTAAAACTGACACAAAATTACTAACACAAAATTAAGCTAACATTTGGTTTTGAATTTTGACACGAAGTTTTGTTGGTGTCATATGATGCGTCAATTTATAATGGTACGTATCACAAATTTTAGTTTCATTATAATTAAGGAATAAATTTTACTTTATTATCATAAACACTATTTAAATTTATCTTATAATGATAGGTATCAAACTTTATTGTAGTCATTTATCATTTAAATCTAATATTATTTCTTATATGATTTTAATTATTTAATAAATATTTTTTTTGAGCTTTATCTTTTTACATTTTTTTTTTGGATTTGTTATACTCGTAGTAATGATTTAATAAATATCTCTTTTCCTACATTTTTTTACCATTAATTTATAAAATAATTTTATTCTTGGTTTTTAATCTACGTGGCACAAAAATTTTAAATATATCAAATCTAATTCGTTACGTTTACCTAGGTGGCGATATAATTTTTTAATTCAAAAATAAAATATAAATCTCTTTTATCATTGGTCGAAATAAGTATATTTCTTACGTGGCGCTCCGAATGCTCTCCAAAGATGCCTATTATATATATATATATATATACTACTTCACAACATAATTGTGAAACTCGGTGTAAAAATGAATAAATACATGTATGATACTTTTTTTTTGGCAAACCTTTTCTTTGATTTTCAGGATAGAGTATTTTGAAGAATTGCAGTGAAAAGTTGTATATTTGACATTCTTTACACAAATTCTGCCAATAAAATCAAGTTTAGGCTCGTTAGCTAGAAAAAAGAGATTTTGTAGGATTAATACCTTACCTCTCTTTAAATAGTACTCCATTTCAACATATTATCCTCTACATAAATCAAATTCAAAATGAAGATAAGTTGCTTTATATTTCCATAACACATTATCCTCAACATAAATCAAAAGGAAGATAACAGGGAACATCTAAATTAAAATTATCGATTACATACAAAATGAAGATCAAGAAAATCTTCCAAGAGTCTAAACACCCATATTCAAACTAATTTAAATGCCAAACAACCACTTTTTAAGAATGGTACGTAAGAAAGTAGGAAAGATAATGATTAACCTAGGCGCAAAGGAAACATCTCATCCATACCTAACAATTAATTGTTTTGTCACTCTTCCTAAAAAGGAAAATTTAGGAAAACCAAAGTTATTTGTTTGTTGTAGCATGTCTTTGACAAAATGCTTTCAATCTCTCAAGTCCATCTTCAAGAGCTGTTGGCTCCAACGCAAAAGTTATGCGCAACCAATTCTTTGCTCCCATTGTCACACCTATTCAACGTAATAAATTAAATAACCAAAGATATTAATTACTTGGTCCAAAAAATAAATGTTGGGTACACGCTAAAATGTGTTATACATTCATATATTTCCTATACACGGGTGATTTGATGTTACTTCCGTTTGAAATAACTTTAATAGCGTGACAATTAATTTCGGATAAAAGTAGAAATGTAAAATTTGAAATTTCTTACCTGGTAGGATGATCATCTTCTCCTCTTTGGCAAGCTTAATGCAAAAATCAATGTCGTCAATAATTCCATCTAATTGAGACAAATCTAGTTTGACCTGCAACATGCATGTCATGGCAGTCATAAGTCATACTAGTACTATAATTGACTAGTATCAAGTTATACTGTTAAAACATTAATTATTTTAGATTTGTATTTGCCCCTAGTATCAAGTTATACTGTAATATCATTAATTATTTTAGATTTGTATTTGACTAGTATCAAGTTATACTGTTAAAAATTGAAAATAACGTCAAATGATGGCTCTCTTTAGTCGACAACGGTGAACGGTTATATTAGTGTATTTATACTACCAATGTGACAACAACATTTCTATTACTGTATATATAATTGTAAAAAAAAGTTATTGAATGAAAGTTAAGGTTACCGAATGTATTTAGATGTGATCTCAATATATATATTTGAGGCGTGGGAACACGTTTTATGATTAAATTTGTTCCTTACCATCACAAACATGGATCCTTCTGGTTTATATGGGCAAATGAGGCATGGAATCTCTTGAACTTTCTCATAGCAGATATCTGCATCATTCTTTAGAATGTTGATGACTCTTGAAAAGAATTCCTTGCTTGTATTTTCAAGAATTTGAGGAACTGCCCCCTGAAAATTGTGGGATTTGTTATCCATCATTCATATCATAGTAAAAAATATTAGAGACAAATTTATGAATTTTAAAACAATGTGTGAAAATAGGATCTAAATGAGATAATGGTCAAATTTGTAACCTGAATGAAGGAAGCAGGGTCAGCAGATATGCTTGCAATACGCTTAATGCTCTCCATGACCTATTACAACCAAAACCAAAGACAACCATGAGTTACACACTGTATAGTTGTACTTAATTTGAATAGTATAATTTCATTACAATATAAACTTATCTACAAGTAATACATCTATGCAACATGGTATGTATCATGGGGCAAAACGTATATAAACGCTAAGGAGTTCACTTGAGGGGTCCAAGGCGAACTTAATGAGATTCAATCTCACAACCACTTTTATATCTACATTCTAACAGAGGAATGAACTATATCCTTTGTATTTATATGTAACATACAAAGTACAGAGTATATAACCGAAAAGAAAGTAATTGGTACACGTACCCCATATTTTTGCAAGATGCCATGAGTATCATTTGTGACAAGCCAACCAAGGCGCCAACCAGGAACAATCCATCGCTTGGATAACGACCCAACAGTAATGACTGGAACAATGTTTCCAAACACACCCATTGGTACAAATGGGTTGCTTCCAAAGGTAAGGTGACCATAAACTTCATCACTAATCACCAAAATCCCAAGTTTTTTCGCAACCTCTGCCACCTGTCAACACAATGGATTAGTAATTCTTAATCGCTTAAACATTTGTTCACTTATACTTGTATATTAGAGATTATTTCGACGGTCAATTTAAAATGAATGTATTGTACTCTTAATGTCTAGCACATTATTTCCGTATTATACCTTTTGTAAATGGTTATACGTGAAAACGTTACCACAAGGGTTTCCGGGGTTTACAATAACCATAGCCACGGTATTGGCATCGGCTAGAGCTTCAATAGCATCAAGATCAACTTCCCAACCATTCTTCGGGACAAGATCAAAGTGACGTGTTTCAAGTCCGATATGAGCTGAAAAAACTTCGTAGTACGGGTAGCCGGGTCTAGGTAGCAATACATTAGCACCAGGAGAAGCAAGTGAAGTAAGTGCAATATCAATTGCTTGAGTACAACCTAGTGTAAGGACTACATCATTTGCGGAAAGATCATAGGGAAGTTCACGAGAAAGGTACTCTGCCACAGCCCTGTTCAAGAACAACCAGCAAATTTGAGTAACACATCAAGGTAATATCAGAGAAAATAAATGCAACCTTTAAATGTGCAATATTTACGTATGGTTGGATTAGTTAAAGAGTAGGCAACATAATATTAGGAGGGACCAAAATTAAAGTATGAAATATGGTCCCTAATTTAAGCATAAGGATTACTGACGACATTCTTTCACATATTTAATCGTGTAAACTACTCCATCTACCCCCCCTTACAAAACATGTGGCATTTTCTGCACTTTCGTCCACAAATACTAGTCGTGTATGCTATCGAGTTGAAAAATATTTTGTAATATGAGTAATCTGACATAAAACTTCGTAATACAGACAATTTAGAAATCTCTAGTTTAGACTAAAAATTGTAATGGTTTATATAGTTGGATTCGAATTTTGAATATTGGTATGATATCGATTTGGATGTTAGGATTAGAATAGCGTGAGAGTGCTTCAACTAGGCAAATGCCCTAGAGGATCTTCTTGCAAAATAATCCATCAAATTTTTAAATCATTATGAGAGATTGAGAAAATATGACAATTTAAACAAAGAGACTTCCTCAATTGGAAAATTACTTTAAAAAAAAAATTATATAGCAAGTCACATTTAAGTACGTATTCTTTCATTCACATAATATGTAAGACTAATCATTAAAATGGTCAATTTGTTACTCAATGTTAGCAAAATGCAATAAAACCTGTATCGCAAATTCTTGTAATTGTTGTAAATAACAGGTTTAAAAGCCTTGAATCAATTTCTCCATACGAGCTTTATAATGATCTTTTGATACTCATTTTCGATGAAGGTTACAAATTCGTGTAACATCACATTAATTGGCATCTTAATAAGCATTGTAACATTCCTTTTTATGTTACAATGTATTTCTCTTATCTTATCAGATAAATTCATACACTAACAAGATACACGCTGCAAATCATATATTGAGCAATTAATTATGTGAATCAATCTCTTAAACTCAATTTTATGATTATCGTGCAGGAGCGCGATTGAATAATCTCATTTTCAAAGTTGTAGTTATTCCTCGTTATAATTTCTCTACTCTATTAATTTTCCGTACATGTTGATATACCCTTAATTCCAAGACAATACTCTAGTCAACCAAGTCCAAATCTTCTTAATTTTAAAATTGGGGGAGCGGGGTTCCTTGATATTCAATTCGATCTCGTACAACTAATTAATAATTACTCAACGTGTTGACAGGACAATCACTAGACTACGTCAAGTAAGAATTTGGGAAATTTTCAAAGCATAATTATATTGATTTTCTACAATTAAACCTATTCAAAAGCTGTTTTTTTGACAAAATCTTACCACTATCAAAAACAAAACAGAAAAAAGAATAGGGAAAGGAAGTGGTTATTAATTTACTATTATCTAATGAGTTTACTCTTAATCAATTTTTCATGTAATTCTGTCTATATTTTCCCCTATTTATTATTATTAATATAAATCATAGAATAAAAAAGATGTATAGAAATAAGTCAATAACCCCATAAATTACTTGAATGACATTCATAAACCTCATTTCATGCCTTAACAAAATATTGTACGTACACTTATGTTATTCTAAAATTACTAATTTCAATAACTCAATATGAATAATAATTTATTTATTTAATTATCACTAACAAAAAATTTAAGAGATGAGGAAACATACTTTCTAGCAGGAAGGAGGCCAACGGCGGTGCCATAGGAATTAAACTGACCGGAGCTAAGAGCGTCAACAACGGCGGCCTCGGCATTTCGACAAGTCCGAAAACAGGGAAAAATAGAAGGATCACCATGAGCAAGAGCAAGCATTGGCCTTTCATCATGAGGGTTTAAATTTTCCATAATCATAGTCCTAGCTTCTCTAACCGTAACACCTCTACTCGTATTTTTCGTACCATTTGTATTCGTATTTTCGGCTTTTGCTATTACTGTGCACCCCCCATTGTTGTGACCATCTTCTTTTCCTTTGAATCTCCATGTTTTGTTCACACCATTAACGTTTGTTCCACCGTTTTCCATTTCTATTTTTTTTTTCTCCCTTTTTTCTTTGGTTTTCTCTCTTTTTTTTGCTCTTTCGGTTTACTCGTTTATAATGTTGTCTCTCAACTAATTTGCCTTTTTATAGGAAATTCAACTCTTCTATTTTATGTCTATTCTTTTACCACAACATGCTTTTTTTGTTATTCTTTTTGGAAAAAATAATTCTTTTTATTGACTTGATATTTTTATAATGTTTGGTTGTTGGAAAGGAAATGAAATAATAAATATAAGGAAACTTTAGAGTAAATTTTCAATCGTACATTTTGCCTGATTTGTTGCTAAATATGAAAATAGTTTCTACATTAATTTAATTACTTTCCCTATATATTGCGTTGATTTCAATTTGATTTACTAAAATCCCTTTTATTTCATTCTATCCTTTTTTTTTTCCTTTCATTTACATATAGGTTCTAATCTTTAATGTACACAACTTATTACAAATTTAGAGACTGTAATTTTATTTTTTTTACACTGTAATTTTTTCCTTTTTATATTTCCACGTTGAAATGACTCCAGAATGGAGTGTAAAGTAGTTTGTTAGTTTGTTTTATATTTCCACAAAGAAAGTGATTTGATATGTTTACAGTACAATAATGTGTTTTTCATACATGTGTGTGTTTGTGTTGTAGAAAGGGACATTGTACATGTGCAATATATGATCGATAAAATTTGTTTATTTCCTCCGAGGTGTAGTGTAGAGAAATGACCGACATATACGACACTGCTAATATAATCATGTAGAATTTACATTCTAATTCATTTTTACGTAATCATAGCTAACTAAGTCTTTGTTAAATAAAACAAATAATATGACCATTAAATCCAATTAAACTTCACATAATTATTTTAAAGAGTATAGTAAAAGAAGATATTGTCAAAATATAGCAATTGGGCATTCTATTTGGTTTAGTATACTCCAATAACATCAATAGATTAATTGTAGGTTACTATCAAAAAAGTTGTAAGGTTGCCTAGTGCATGCCATTTTCGAGAAGTGGTTTCTTAGTGCCAAGTCCATGCCGCACGTACGTAAGACCAGACAAATGTATGACCTATATACGTACATAAGACATAGTACATATACAAGCTTGACAATTTTTCTTTAAAAATTTAAAATTAATGAAATTGAAGGAATTATTTTCTTGCAAACATTCACTATTTTAGTTTACTTACTAATTATTTTAGTATTTATTGAAGTTTTAATTTTTTTTGGGTGTGTGTGTTTTTTTATGTATAGCCATAAGAACGGATGATGAGAATTGCTCTTAGGGTCTCCTGCAAATGAGAGGGAAGTTCTAACCAATTGAGCTAACGCTCTCGCTCAAAATACTCTGTAAGTCATTGTCTCTTACACTCAATAGTATATATTGTCTGTACTTGTCTGAGCTAGGTTGTAGACTTATAGTTGAATTAGAGTCACGAGAAACCTCGTTTTTGACTAACTGCCCTAAGGAAGGAATTTTGTTGGACTTATAAAATTATATAGCAAGCAAAACAGTGGGTGTGATACGAATTCTAGCCTCTTTTCTACAACTTAATCCTAAAATTAATGAACCAAAACAGACAGCCAATTATATAAATTAACACACCTTCTTCGAAAGTACTTCTAACAACATTTTAATCATATAATTAACGATTATTCCGGATTCAACGCCACCTTGTTGATGGCAAGACCAAGACGTATTGAATTGAAGACATATAAGATAGAAGATAGGATTAACAACATTAATTTGCGTTTCTTCCAAGTATTTTTTTAACTGTTTGAGACTTTGAGGAGGTGGTTTTTTGACTTAGATTTGTGATGGGACGTTATAATGATACATACATGGGACTATGGGACGATTGGCATAATTAGTAAACCTTCTTATTATTATTGTTATTGGCATACTTAGTTGGTCACTCTCAACTTCAAGCACTAATATTTCTAATTTTAGGATGTAGGCATGTACGAGTAGCAAGTAGTGTTTTGCTTTTTAAAATCAGTGGAGATCAGAAGTCACTAAGGTGTAATAGTTGTCGAATTGACACCCGTTAAAAAAAATTAAAACTACTCTAAATGTTTCTTTATTTTCGAAATATAGTTTTCTGTTGTGAAATAAGGAGAAAATATGAGAAATGGAGAGAGAATTCACCAGCTTATTATTCCATAGAGTACGGATATATATATACAATATAACTAGGGTTTGCTTAGATAACAATAAAGCCTAGATCTAGAATATTCCGGAATGATACGAGGATAATGGATATCCACAAATATTTCATAACACTCCCCCTTGGATGTCCATTATCGAAGAGTGTGCCTCGTTAAAACCTTATTAGGAAAAATCCTGTGGGATAAAAAAAACCTAATGAAGGAAAAAGAGTACAACATTCTTCGTAATACGCTCGAGATGCCGCCTCATTAAAAACCTTACCAGGAAAACCCAATGTGGGACAAAACCATGGTCAAGGGAAAAAGAGTGCAGCGCGTATTTTCTACTCCTGATGAATACATAACTTGAGATCTTCTAGTGCCGCAACAATGGATCCAATATGATTGGATATCTTCTAATATGTAGTCAAATATCATTCTTGGTCTTCGATCCTCCTAAACTGAAAGTGCATCTCCAAGTCTTCAAGTGAACATGTGAAATGTCTTCATTTCACCATACATGTATTTATCTCTACATCATTCCAAACCTCTGTTTGAATAAAGTTACTTTAAAAGTTAAACTTATGCGGTTAGGCCTTCTTCTGGAGGTCGTGAATAATAGAAATCGATGATCATTATTTGATCAAACATTCATTAATAATAATTTGATGACAAAACTTGATATTATTAATGTCGTCTTCAATCTCATCTGAATTATAATATAACACATGTAATTAGATACGCTAATCATGGTTCTTCTGGACCATAAGAAAACATTCTCACGCATAAGTATTCCATTGATATTCCTTAGACGTTTCATAATTAACACGATGGCTCTCTTGCAAATACAAAAGCAAATCTCACTAACTTTCATATGCTCAAACTTCAGGTTGAGAAGTCAATGATGTAGTCACATAGACTTTCAAGAGTTTGATAATCATTGCAATATTCAAGATATATAATTTGTAGGGCTATAAATACGTTGCATATAAGTTCTTCGGGAACTTCTCTTACATGATTCATAAATAATATTAAATCAACGTCATATATACTTTCATCATAATTATAAGTCCGTTGGAATATAAATATGTCTTTCTAATTTTCCATCAAAGGTTGTAAATATGTCTTACTATACTTTGAATAAACATGCACATACACGACAAATATTGTATAGAAACTAATGCATGCAATATGAGATATATAAACATAATAACATAAAGCAAAATATACAATAGGTAATGCATTTAACAACTACTGACATATGCAATGAACAATCCGTTAACCTATGACTTATACATGCATATAAACATATATATGACTCAAAATAATGCAAGACACTATACAGTGTGGATTTAAAAATCCATATTTCATTGGACTTCTGGTCCATAATAAACTTTTGATCATTATATGTCGACATCAAAATGGACATATATTCCAAATTCCTTATTCACTAGTCCATTCTATCATGCATATGCATTATTTGTCGGTTCCATCATATACCGGTATCATCATATAATTCCTCAGGGTAAAATTTTAATTTGCATGCTATTTCGACAATGATATCTGAATACATTTTTCATTGGTACCATCATAAATTTTTCTTACATCATAGGCCATCTATTGTAATAATTCAGATATCTATATATATACCACTTTTATTTGAGGTATTTCATACATTATGGTATTTATATACTATTACACTATTAAAAGTATTAACTGCACTATCTTTCCACATATCATATCTTTATTTTGGAACCAGTCATCCAACCTACACTTCAGGTGTAGTGATTCAAGTATAATTGGCAAGATTTTATCTCAATGTATACACATAATTTAATATGACCAAAATGTATCTTTAACGCTATGCAACATGAGTCATAAATGAATACAAATCAAATCATAAATGTGCAACATATCTTGATAATATATAGACAAAAGTTGGCATATATAACTTTTCAAACTACCTTTATAGGGATCATCAATTATATATTTTCCGATTTTTCCAACTTTTGCTAATTCTTCTTCCCCTAAGTTGGTAAAATATCTCATTTATAGGGGGCGTCTAATTCTATATATACCAACTTAGTATACAAATTTGCATTAAAATTCATTTCATGGGAGGATCATAATCAAGAAAATTTATCTCTCAGGAGAATTATATTAAACAAGCTTTTATCTCTTCTAGAGAGAAATCTTAAAGAAAAATCATTTCTTCATTAGCTATACATTGCATAACGCATATGTATTTATTTTATTTTTTTTTTCATAATTTGGTCTCTTCAAGAGATCAATAATTCAATATCAATGGGAAGACGTATGTTGTGCAGTTGAATTTCTTTCTTTTCCTATTTCTTATGTGCTGACATACAATAGCCCCAATCAATAGAATTGTTATACAAATATAAACTTGAATGTAATTCTACTAGGTGATGATCTTCTAGATCACTAGAAACCTTGACAGTATGATACTAATTAAATATTCAGAATTTCCTCATACAACTTGTATTTGGTGAGCTTCTGGTCACCAACATGTAACAATATATAAGTTATTCTGGTGAACTTCTAGTCACCTATTACTCATTCATATGAAAATTTATTCAAAACGAATATATTATCTCTTGAAATTTTCTTCAACACAAATCTTTAAAAATCACAATCCAAATATAGTTCAATCTCAATGTTATGTCTTGCCATTCAATTAACTTCATATATCAAATGAAACTTCAGGTTTCCATAACGGGTATTTATTGAACCCGGATGGCCTAATTTAATTATCACATCCAATCATTTATCTAAATTTATATTATGGTTAGTTTTTCAACACTGGTGATCACTTTATGAGACATAATATGATGTGATATTAGAACACCAACATGTGTTTCTTTATATAATTGGCAAGACAATCAACTAATACTTGATCCAAGATTTTATACTCTGCTGAAGTTTTGACTATAATCTTGATACATGCTACGCTTGTTGGATAATTCTATACTCTTCTAGAGTACTCTATATAATCATGGTACATATTTATATTATTAAATATAATCTCTTATAAAGATCTATCAAAATGTATCGCTTCCTCAAATTTGCTATTATCTATAATTGCTCTTTTCCTGATTCAAGATTCTTATATTTTGTTTTGGAACCTATTAAAATACCACGCTTCAGGCATGCTTTAGGCTCATTAGGAATTCATGTTTGTTGTCTTTCTAGGACATTAGTTTTAATTGGAGCATTTACATTTGGTATATAGATAAATAATGACATCTATTCATATCCATCTTCAGGATGGTATCATTTTGAAATAGCCACTTTTATTAAATAAAACGTTAATATTTAAGTTAATGTATGTACCAAACTGACCATCAATATATTTTTATTATTTATGTGCAAGGATTACATAAAATAATGAAATAAATACTATCTCCCCCTAATCCTTGCATGTGGGAGCATTAAATTAATCCAACTACTTTAAATCTCTTGCACCTTTCAAGCCATAAATTCTTTTATCAATGCACGTATCAAGCAAAGTAAAATGATTCTTATAAACTCATTACTCATGCCCAATTATATTAATTTCTTATAAATATGGGCATTATAAATATATTTTTATAAGTAAGTTTCCCACAATGCCATCTATCTATTGCTCACATAGATATTGTGCAATCATGTTTAATTTGTAGATCGTATAACTTTTGCATGAATTATATTCATCATGGAAACATGCATGTATCATCTCAATCATACAATTATTTCTCATTCATTTTGGGAAAATCATACAATTATTTCTCATTTATTTTGGGAATAAGAATCTAGTAATATATGAATCATTAATATTCACCCAAAGTGTGGTATCTATAATAACCACCAAATTAAAAGACATTATGTCAACTTTTCTAAGCTTTTGTACTATTTTTCATGAAGGGTTTTGGGCCCTTTATAAGTGCAAGGAACTTTAAGTCTGTGTGTGTGGGTACTCTTTATAAATCTAAGAAATTTTAGGTCAATTTACTTTTATTCCAATAATACAACTTCAAGTAAGTACATAATACTATAATTGAATTTGATCACACATCAATCAACATAATATACTTCAATCATAAAAATATAAAGTTAACTAATAAAATCTATAACTTCTAGCCCAAAAGTGGAAAAGAGTATGTAATTATAGAGTATTACTTGCAAGTTACTAGCTATATACTACTTGTTTTCCGTGTTTTATAGGAAACCATATGTATCTCATGTAATAGTCATTATTATCGTTACAAACTATAATTCAACAATCAATTCTTTTCCATCTAATTAACAAAATAAAGAAATATTTCCCACATTCATTTTTAAACTAATAATCAACCTTGCATGTGAAAAATAAGATGGATTGTGATCAACATAATTTAAGGTCAACTAGAAAATATCAATATAGTCAATTTGATATACAACATCATGCATATATTAGCAATCTCACTCATAAGGGTTATTAAAAGCAATGCTATATATCATACAAAAAAAAACCAAATCATACTCATAATATTAGTTCTTGATTATGACATCAACTATCTTTAAACAATTATTCATATGGTCAGTGAAATCATGTGGTCATTCGAGTGTAAGTAATGTCACTACTCATAAAGTACAAACAATATTACGATCATCATTAAAGACTTCAATGCATTCTCATAAAAAAAAATTAGTCCATTAAATTTAATCCAAGTTCATCATAATCAGATTACTTAATAATTTAATCAAAGTTAGTAGGTTACTTGAGTAGAGCTAGACTTATAACCCAATATGTATACTACATAGCAAATCAAAACTAACACTTAATATACCAATATATCAAAAACATGTCATCTATAGTACATAGTATAAGATATAAACTTAACTTATAATTAAGTCTCAATATTCTCAAATACCATTATTTAATTCTTATGTAGCACATGATTTAACATATAAATCACATAGTTTCACATTATGTATAAACACCTTAGAGAAACTATATCATTTCAAAAATGAAAAAAAAAAAAAATGTTTTACCTTAAAAAAAAAATCAAATAGATTAATAACAGAGAACAATTCCGTAAAAGTGAATTAAAGTGCCATACGGGGTTGCTTTAGCTATGAAATAGGTTCATATATTTTGTTAAGCAAAAAAAACCTATTTGGTCATAGCTATCAACATAAATAATGCCTTCAATCATATACGAAGTATTAAACCATATATTAATAACGGCATGTCGACATATCATCAATAATCAAATAATTGATTTATCACCAGACAAAGCAAATGGAACCACATTAATTTTCTTTAACCCTTAAATTATCTTAGCCAGAGTACCAATTGCAAGCAAGCAACTTAAACTCCATCTAAAACTCAATTCATAAGTTTAGACCATTAATTTATATCACCAAAATAATAGAGATACGAAGTATATAGAATAACAAACTCTACTCGTAGACAATTCTAGTAACCCAACAGACAATTTGATATTTCCGGCAACCATTTTTTTTTTTTCACACGTATCCAATCTGTAATACTAATTAAATTATAATGAATTATATAGGGGATTAGGGAGTTTTACCTGATTAATAACAAATTATTGGATGTGTTCTTGTTATCAACTTGAACTGGTTTTCCCTCATGATAAGAATTCATATAATTGGGTACGAAGATTCTTCGAACAGGGACTTTGCAATTAGCAAATCTCACATCACATAACTTTGCTTCAGATCGATCATGTGGGATATTTCCTTCTCCAAATTCGTAAAAAAAAATGGTTGTTAACCTAATTATTATACTATGATCAATATACTATGATCACACCAAATTCGTAAGAAGAAGGCATAAGGAGCTTGGATTGATTGGGAGGTTGGCGAAGTGTACTACTCGTCTTCCTAATCTTCCAGCCGTTGCTGCTTCTTCTTCTTCAATGTTTTTGTGAAGAGAGTTGATTTTAGAGAGAGTTGCAGATCGAGGGAAGTTAGCAATTATGTACATGTATAGGAATCAAAAGAGTTATTATTAATTATTTAGAGGTATGGTGCTGATAACGTGTTGTGAAATAAGGAGAAAATATGAGAGATGGAGAGAGAATTCATCAGCTTATTATTCCATAGAGTACGGATATATATATATATATATATATATATATATATATATATATATATATATAAATAATATAATATAACTAGGGTTTGCTTAGATAACAATAAAGCCTAGATCTAGAATATTCCGGAATGATACAAGAAGGATAATGGATATCCACAAATATTTCATAACATTTTCTTCTTTTTCTTCTTTTTTTTTTTTTTTTTTTTTTTGACAACCGAAATATTGTTTTCAATGCCATATTGGATTAGACGTAAATATTGTCTTTAAAATCTTGACCCTGTCACTACTTACAATGGGAAGTGTATGTGTAAGTCATAGTATTAATTATCCTTGTGTATATCTTAAAAAGAGTGTTGTCTTACTTTTGTCTAGCTAGGCCTTCTTTGCCTCTCTCTTTTTTTTTTTTATAGTGAACCGCCATTGTTAGATTTGCCTTGAAGCTTGTTGACCATGGTAGCTGGTGAGAGATGAGACTAGCCATATAGTATAGTTTGCCTATTCAAGCCAAGCGCAAGGTTGCTCATGAGACTACCCATACTTTGTTTTTATTTTACCAAACTATCAAAATCACCAAAAATCTCTCATTGTGGAAATACATACAAATTTAAAAATAGGTAATTGCAAAGCTCTCTTGCTATTTGCTAGGGCTCTAAGAAGTACAATTACTAGTTTAAATTTTAGAGAGGATTTTTTCTCAATTTTCTTATTAATGTTAAACGCATAGGAATTTACAACTTTGGCATTGTTCCAAATTATATTCATAATCAAATTTGGGAAAACAAGGTACAATTGGATAAGGCTAAACTCATTACTCATCATACAAAAATACGTTAATCCTCCATATCATAAAGCCAACATTTGTTCCTTTTCTTTTTGTCATCGTATGAATCCTTTTTTTTTTTTTTTTTTTTTTTTTTCTCACTAGCCGCATATGAGTCTGTTTATGATTAATTAACAAGTGATTTTTTTGGTTTTCTTTATTTGGAAATTTTAATAATCCTATAATTTGGTGACCTTTAAGAAGAACCGCATGAAAGAAACAAGTAGATGGTAATTCGTGTGGATAAAGCGTAACAACTGAACAAACAAATAACGCATGATTCATGACAAACATGAAACATGGAATCGAACGCACTAGATAAAGTTAAACAGCTGAGTCATGACGTGGAGTGTATGGAATTTAAGTATAATTATCTTCAATGATAACAAATAATAATCTTAGGGGATGTAGCTCAGATGGTAGAGCGCTCGCTTAGCATGCGAGAGGTACGGGGATCGATACCCCGCATCTCCATATTTATTTTTCATTATTTGCTTAATTATCTTTAACACAAAATTTCATGGCGCATTATATGTTGGTATATTTTGAGATATGTCATGTCACTTTCTTAATGTGGTTTGTAAATTTAAACTTTCTCAGAATACAAGATGTTCTTGATATTGTTTCAATAAAAACACGTTGTATAGTTGTACAAACACATGCTACTTTGTTAATGACACACACACTAGTCTAGTTGAACAAGACATTTTGTTCCTTACTCAAATGTGTTATTTTGGATATCATTTTTCAAAATTTTAACCGACTAAAATACTCGTAGTTTGATATTCATAATTGTAAGGTTTGTAACTCGTCAACCTTCTTGACTTAAATTAGCAGGTTAGGCCATTTAGGGGTGGACGGGAGAAGGGAGAAGGGAAAAGGTAATCTTTGAACATGTAAATTTGTAAGCCAAAAATTTCCCAAAACCGATCCCACCTCTGCGGAAAAATACAAATTTCTAACTTTCTCTCTGCAAACTCGCCGCTTTGCTAAATCGTAAAGAAGGAAAAAGGGTATGGGGAAAGAGAGTGAATTATGGGATGATTCTGCTCTAATCAATGCTTTCGATGAAGCCATTTCCAAGTACAAGGTACTTCTTTTCTCTACAATTTTTGCTCATATAATTTGCAATTCTTAATTTTTAATCCTTCATTTTTTGTGAAGCAGAAAATGCACAAAAAATGGTACAAAGAAAATCCGAATACTTCTTCTGCAGATATCAAATGCAGCAATTCTGATGCTCCCTCTGGAATTGATGCTATTCAAGAACATAACAGGTTTGGCTACACTGCTTAATTGATTTTTTTAGGGTTTTATGTTTATATATTACTTTATTAGTATGAATTAAGGTTACCCATGATTTATAATTTGTTGGGTGAGGATTATTTTTATGAAAGTAGCAACTGGGATGATTTGTTTAGTAGGCTAGGTTAATTGTTTTTAAGGAGTGATAATTTGTAGCTGCATATATGGAGTGACATTTTGGGATGTTCGGAAAAAGTTGTCACCTTTCGTAGAATAATCATCGTTTGTTGTTTCATAGATGCCCATATGGGTGATTTGGGGAGTGTGGGAACAATCCTGTGATTAGGGTTTCATAGAAAGAATTATGTTGTATTTTTTATTACGAGGGTTTGGAATTTTATGACAATCATTTCTTGATGGAGGTAGAGTGAAGTGAAGTAGTTTTATAATGGACTAGAAAGAGCAATGCTTATTGCCCTATCCTGTACTAGTGATCAGGTATCTCGTCATCTCCGCTATGTGCATTGAACACATGTGTGTTCTTTTCTGAAGAATTCTCATGTTCCCAACGGATCCAATCCCAATTTATGTGCACTCCCAAGTTATAATTTTGAGTATCTGACATAGGCGTTCCATGTTTGAGGTCAGATGGAAACTCTATGTAGCATAGCTGACAGGCTTGACTCCTATAACAGTGTCGGAAGGGTATATATTGTCTATCATCAGGGAACTTTTACGCAAATTTGTTATGTTTTGGAGGTTTCAAGTTGCCACTCTTTTGAAGTAATGGATTTCTAAATTTGATGCACAAGCTCATGGAAGAATGATTGTATATTGATTATGCTTATAAAAGTTTACGGGAATGTATCTACTTTCAGTTTCGTCTTTGATTCCCAAGCTCATGTTGCATTCATCTTGTCTATGATTAAGATTAACAACCCACTTTTTCTTCAAAAAAAAAAAAAAAAGATTTACAACCCACTTCCATAATTTCTGAAAGTAAGAATTATGCACAGGCTGATGCTTTTTAATACAATATTGGTGAAAGTAGAGACAACATTAATGTAACATAATACTAATACTTAATCTGAAGTATTAATATCATTTTTTTTAAACAAAAAAGATAGTCTCTTGAAGCTTTTCATTGTGCATACTTGTAGGAAGTGCTGGAAGACTACCATTTCGTGTAACTTGACCGTTATCATGCTTCATTACCTGCAAGCAACATAACTACTCTGAGGATTATATTGATGCCATGGTGAATTGCTGATATCTAAGCGGTATTAGAATGATTAGGATTTTTTTATATATAATATTGCTTGATAGTAATTTTAAGTGGTTGGTTCATTTTTTTTGTATTTGATCTCTGTTACTCGCTCTAAATTTGCTACCACTTTTATTTTTCGTGTAAAGTAATCCAGAAAAACTTGATGAGGGGAATGTTAATGGCCAGCTTGCTACACCAGAAGTGGAAGAGACCAAAAGTCTGGAAACAGCTAAAGGAAATGAAAATGCAGATTCAGAAGTTCCCGGAGAACATGCACTTGGGTCCAGTAGTTTGCCCCTGCAGGATCAGTCTCAAAATCATTCTACCTCCCTAGACATGGATGAATACAATCAACTTTATAAACAGTATTATGAAGTTGAGGAGCAAAGGCAAAATATTCTACAGAAGCTGCAGAACTTCAGCAATTATTATTCTCATCCTAGTGAAGTGCCTGTTTCTGGCTTGGAGTGGGGCGCCAATTCTGTTACCCAAGAATATCAATCCTCTGCAAGTCAAGTGCCTTGTGGGACAATGGTTGTTTCTTGCTGCCCATATGCTGGTCAATGCACCATGGCTTCTTGCTCTTCAATTCCTTGCCCTTTAGCTGGTGTTTCCACTAGTACTCTTTGTGTCAATTCTCCGGCAATAGAAGATAAGGGAAAGCATTCAACAGTTGAAGATGCTGATATTGTTAAGACGGCAATGGGAGCTGCTGAAAGAGCAATGTCCACATTGAAGAATGGAACTTCTGGTATTTCGGTTTAACAAAAACTTTTATAGTGGTTTTGCAATGTTTTTCCGTCATCTTCATCTAGGCTAGTGTCCATTATTGTTACTTTCACCTTCATCGATACTAGTCAGTTATAGTTACTCTTATCTTCATCTAGGGCTCTAGGCTAGTGTCATTTTTTCTTATTTGAACCAGAGATAATTTCCCTGTATTGTGCAAACTTAAAATTGCTTTTCTTAGACATCATGAAGTTTGAAACACTTAAAAATGGCACTCTTATTAAGAAAAGATGAGGGAGAGAGTTTCACCTACTTATTATATTGCCCATCTATCCTTGTCTATCCCACTCCCACCCACATTATGACAGATTGACAGGCATTTCTGGCATTCTGGTTAGTATAACTTACTAAATTTCAAGTGTTGCAAATTTAAAGAAGCAGAGGAAGTATTTCTCTGCAAAAGTCCATTCTTGGTCTAAGTGATGTCTAGCTAGGTTTTGTCTTTTCTTTTTAATGTGTGCATTCTCATATTGATGGAGATAATAGAGAGGCTAAGGTGCTTACTGCATACTGCTTAGTTTGCTTACACCTTATATATGGGATGCAGATTCAATTGAAAACAAAAGCAACAATGGAGCAGAACAAAGTGCTACCTCTGGAACTGATCTAAGCACAGTCCTGAATGCGTGGTATTCTGCAGGATTTTACACCGGAAAGTAAGTATATGAATATCTCCATTGTTACTCAAGTTTTTATTGTGAGTGAAAATTTAGCAAGAGTGTTGGAACTGTGAAAGAAAATAGAGGGGGAGAGAGAGGGAGGGGGAGAGGAGGGGGGGGGGGGATCAGGGGTTAGCAAAGTAGGCAATACGAAGATAACTTCGAGACATCAGACTGAGAGTTATTGGAATAACGTGTATGATTAATATTGATTGTACACCAATGCAATGGTGTTTTTTTTACAGTGATAGGTGTTTACCCTCAACATCATTTGCCTGTTAGCGGCTCTGTTATTTGCAGTATGTTACTTCTTACTAATGAAAAACTTCAATTTATCGCAGGTATTTAACAGAACAATCTCTAGCTAAGAAGCAACATGATTAGATTCTTTTGCAGCTGTGTCGTCCAGTATGATATAAACATGAAAACAACTCATCTTTAGGGAACCATTCAAGTAGGCAGCCGACAGTGGAATTTTTTCGTTTACTTCCGATTTCTCAATGATGAATGTGCCATGGAGCTTGTCTGAGCTTTAATGTTTTTGTGGCTAGCTGTGTTGTCTTCCATAATCTGATTTCCTATGAACTAGTGGTCTGTAAGCTTCTTACTTGGTTGAGTGAAATTGAGTAATTGACTGGCAATTTCCAAGCTTATTAGGGTTTTTGGATGTGTATTCACTCTATGAACAGAATTTGAAGGGCAGGGGCGGTCTTCATGTTTGATATACAAATCAGAAAGCATAATAAAATTCCAAGCACTTGAATATAACTTTTTCCACTCACGTTTAACTGTTTACATTGCATCATTGCTTTATTTAATATATTTCATTATTATCAATCTCTTGAAAATACACATGAGAATGATTTGGTCGTTAGACCTTCAATGATACTCTGTACTTCTTATGGAATGCAGGATTTGCACCATAAAACAATAAAACATACTTCGTATAAAAGACCAAAAGGTTGCACGGGTAAAGCTAACAAATTATGTTATCTTCATTGTTACACAACAGTGTACTGAGGAGGTGAGGTCTTGATGAGCTCACAGTTCTTCCAAACAGTTGCCTAGGTTAAACCCCAACTTTAGATTGAATTGCCCCTGTATTTAAGTAAGATTACTGCATCAATTCGTTAAGAAATGAAGATTTTTTTTTTTGTTAAGGTGAGAAATTAAGGTTAGGATACAATTGAAATACAGGAATGACATGTAAGAAAAGGAGGCATAAAAATTTACAGTAAAAAACCAAGGAGTCATTTCTGGCATAAATATAGCAGCCAAGGAATGACAAAAAATCCTTAAGTTTTACAGTATGATATACACATTAGTACATTACTATGAGGCCTAAGAGTATCGTTCATGGTATTACAAGCCTGCAGTTTCAGACTATAAACTCAGTATCTAAATCCAGTGATGCAGAGACAGCATCAATTCACTTGGTCACACCTTCACATTCTTTGCAGCTTGCTTAATTTGATCAATTGTAAAAATGCCGAACATGCCATCATCTCTGACAGCGTTAACTACTGCCAGTGCAACATCATCAACATTGACAGGTGGTGCCAAAAGTAAGTCTGAAGCAGGAAGAAAGTTTAAAGGTCTAACAAAGTTCTCCGTAGCACTCAGGATTTTCTCCCATGGCTCCATAACCAAGTCAAGAGGGACCTCAAAGCCATCCACCCTTCTCTTACCATATATGAAACCTGGCCTTAGTATAACCCCTGAGGAAATTTAGATTCAAAAAACATATAAGCATAGCCTCCTTGATTAACAGAAATGGAGATATCCACATAGCATTAGATGGAAAGGCCATGCAGCTTGTGTGTACAAGAGCAAAAGAATATGAAGGTGGGAAATTGTGATGAGAGCCAGAAACTTCCCTAGTTTAGAGAAAAAGATTATGTATAAGTAGGGGCATATTGCATGGTGTGCCACCCATAAAAGTTATATTTGGAAAACTTTATGGTCAACAAAACAAGTATGAACCCATTTCTTTTTTATAAAGGAACTTCCAGAGTGAAAAGAGTGAATCAGAAGATGATCACAACCATACAAGTTTATTGTTTCTAACCTTTTTAAGTTTCCATATCAAGATACTTCAACATGCCTATGAAGCAAAGAGCATCGACAACATGAAAAGAAAATTATCATGCGATAGTTATTACCTGAATTAGGGTATCTAGAAAGAATCTCTGATTCAGCTTTCCTCTTGGCAGTGAAGTAAGTGGATTCACGCAAGAAGGGTGGCAAATTGTAATCATGAATTGAGATCAAGATAAATTTAGGGACTCCTGCAAATAAAAGTAAAGAGTAATGAATTAAATGGCTGCATATATCCATAAACAACAGGATCAACACTAGTTGTCACTATGGTTGTTTAAAAGAAATGGCATCTATCTATCTGCATTCCTACATTCTGCATATCCAGCATACATAGGATATGATTGACTTGTTACTGATGTCCAAACTTTTGTTCTACCTTTAGCCCTATGACCTAGTGGCAATGTTCATAATACAATAGTGTCATCTGTGAAAAAATAGTGTGGCATTCTAAGGGAACGCTATATAATTCAATGGCACATATATGTTCACTGTGAGATTTGAAGAAAACGTGACAATTAAAACAATGTATTGTTACTATCAGAATGATTAGCAAACTTTACAAAAGACCATATTCTAAACAAGACACCTTACACCATTAAAAACTCTCACTGAACTGACACAATCCCTGATTACATCCAGGAACTACATTGGTGTCATACACGTTGAAGTATAGATACAATTATATATAGTTATCTGTTTTACCAGAAAATGGTTTCTCTTACTTTGATAAAATTTGGAACACGAACGATATATATAAGATTAGCAATATTAACGATGCATGAGTGTAAATGATCAGATCAGGGATTACTTTCCTCACTGAAAGCATAATATAAAGTCACATAGACATTTACCATAATCTTTTGCAGCAGTTACTGCTGCAATATTAGCCTCGCCATTAATCCTTTTCAGCTGCTCCTCATTTCCAAAACCTCCCAAGGTTGAAGCAACAGCAGTGGCTCCAACAAGGATTTCATCCCAATTAGCATAAAAAACATCCCCTGTGAGATGGAAGATTTTAGATACATGTTTCCATGAAAGACCACAGATCTTCACAGTTACTATAGAACCTAGGACAAAACATATGTCTCAACAAACCACTGTATGTGCATTGCTTTCAGACTGCAATCTCTTAATTGTAATCTAATTGATTAGGAACTATTATACAAGCATAAGAGGTGGTAAACCATCCATGGAGCACATCAACACAAGATAGCATTACAAGAAAGGTTGCTATCCCACGTGCCAGGTAACTATCAAGATAATCTTCTGGCCATAGAGAACCCAAGAGACCACTATTTCCCATGCTTCTGCAGACGTGCAACTAACAACAAATCCACAAGTATCAGATTAGAAGGAAAGCAATAGTCATTCTAAAGTTCTCGTAAACATTGTCTGACTTATCTGGTCAAAAAAAATATAATGTATAATCCACATTCCACAACAAACTTCACCAGAGTTGCACAATAATTTTTTATTTCTTCCTTTATGGAATTTTTAATTTTTGGCTTTGAAGATTTGGTCAACTTTTCTACAGGAGCTCACCTGCACTAATCTGTAAAGAATAACCAGGGCTCAGCTAATCCTTTAAATTTAGTTAAAGAGTCAGTTCATACATATCTTTTATTCATATGCCTCCTAGTTGGTTGCTAGATTCTGAGTGTATTCTGCTCCTCCTTATGTTGTGTATAGTAAATTTAGGACAAATTCATGTTATCAATTTATCATACAAAATGACTACATTCAGCAAGATCTTCCATTTTAAAGTACAAATAACTCTCAAACAAAGCAACTTTGTTGAGGAACTGGAAATATTCATTCAGATTTTGACAGACAGCAACTTAAAAAAAAAATATATGTTAATTAGTAAATTTATCAAAGCTTTCTTCTTGATCTTGCAGCTTAAGGAATTTCAGAGAAATGCTACTACAGTTAAATGGAATTTCTCATTCATTAGGCATTGATGGAAGGACAGTATAGATAGTTAGATACCAAGTAGACACAAGATCCAGCAGAATTTCCATTGATCAAGAACTTTGAAAAGTTAACAGTAAGATCAATGTGGTAAGATAGCATGAAAGTGACACATGCCTGGGATCCAAGAAACCTGATCTACCCAAGATTCTGAAATACGAGGCCGCCCTGACCTGCAAAAAGTTCATTGAAGCTTCAGGTTCTGTACAGGCAAGTAGTAGCTTCATATATAAGTAATGGAGTACTACAGGTCAGACTAATTTGCATTAGATATCAGCTAACGAGATTGTGCAAGGCAAGCAAGGAGGAAATTACCAACTAAGACGATGAAAAAGTCGCACCTGCTTAAACTTACAACCTCTATGCCTTTTGAAACTGCAGCCTTGCATATTGCAGATCCAACAAAACCACTGCCTCCCACAACAACTAACTATCGAGAAAAGCAGATATAGAGAGCAATAAAGTTATATAAAGCAACTATCAGCTAATGTGGAGACAGAAGATTGATCTAACCCATTCAAATTCATACCTTTTCAGATTTAACATCAGCTGTAACATCTATTGTAGCAGAATTGGAGTAGTCTATGTTTGTTCCCGAATAACTACACTTGACATGACATCTCTTGAACCTGTGATGAGGTAACATGAAAAAAAAAAAAAAAAACAAAAAAAAAAACATTCTGAATAATTGCCCTACGGCTACTTCTATAAACCTCAACCATTAATCCTAAAATCTCCTTTACACATGACTAGAAAATTTGTCATATTTAGGATCAGGAAACGACCAATCAACGAAAGATGTAAATACATCAGTCAGTAAATAACTAAACCAAGTCCTTAAGTTATGGTGCATTGAGAAAAAGCCTACTGGGTTCTTGGAGCTACAGACTTTCTTGTTTAGTTTCAATGTAGCTCCTCTTTATATTACGGAGTGAAATATAATGAATTCTTAATCATAGAGAAAATTAAGGATACTAATTAAGAAAATTATGTATCAAACTTTACAATGACATAATTTCAAGGAAAGGCGTCAAAGGATTCACCAAAAGTAACATGCAAATAGGATAGAGTAGAAGATTGAAGCACAATAGCACAAGGTAAACGAGACTCATATCTACGTGATTTTAGAAGCTTAAAAATGTACCATCAATGCAGATTTGGAGATTTATACTTCATAGAAGCAGCAAGAAATGACCACATTCAATTTTCTTTTCCATCCTAAATGTTGGCGGGAAAGTATTGCAGACTTGGAGAAGAAGCCTTTTTAAGATTACCAACAGGAATAAATATTCAGTGAAAAGTTGAAAACAGATACAGTATAAAATAACATAAACTTCACTGAATATTTACGTTGCCAATATGATATGCAGTTGCCAATAACCAAATCATATCCCTTTACTAACACATCAAAAGATCCCTCAGCAGTCAGCACACACAATACTCGTTCTAGCATATTTCAGCTGAGTAAAGATAACTTCGTGAATTTTGATTTGATCTATAAGGTCCCTTTTCCATATAAGTTCGGGTTGCTTTATTTCCCCAATTTCCAGCCCCCATCAATAAAACATAAACCTGACAAACTGACACCCAAGACCTAATAACCCTGATCTTCCTCAACAACATTACTCTACATACTCAAAAACGACGATAAGCTGTCAAACTATTCCCTAAGAAAACCCTGGCACCCAGCTAACATGGATGTGTATAACTCGCATTTTCGCCGACATTTCATAATGTAGCCTAACATAAATCACCCAGAAACACTTCCCATCGCATCTTCTCTCCAGTAAACTAGAGCTTATATTGCTAATTTGCTACATTTAATCTCCAATGATTTCATATTCATATAATTAACTACAAACCCTTTAATGCACACAAAATAATCCACCTAAAAATCATACAAACACATAATATATCTGAAATCCCCCTTTTCCATTCAATCAAAATACCAAAAAAAAAAAAAAAAAAACCATCACCCACATGTACATTTATCATAAGAAAAACATACTCAACAAATTCAATTATGAAAATAAATACGAGTAACAAAAAGACAGTTTCAATCAACAGACATTCAGTACATTAAAGAGAAAATCATGCAAATGTATAAAAACAAAAGGGTATTAATTATAAATATGTGGGGAAGAGAGAGAAAGTACCGATTCTGAAGAAGCAAGAAAGATTTAGAGGGAGGATGAGAGAGAAAGAGGAGTCTGCCACTGAAAGATGAAGAAGGGGTAAGAGAAATGGTAGGTGAAGATACAACCGAGAACATTGACATCCTCGTCTTCTTTGTTAAGTAATCAAGATTATTTTGTGCTGAATTTCAGAAAACTAACTTTCAATCCTCTTAAATTTATGGAGAAATTGGGTTTTTTGAGAATCGAATTTCCCACAAAATTTAAGTGGCAAGTGTGGGTGACACAGGGTTTTTGTTGAAAATAGACCTCTAATTTATTTATTGGCCAAGCTTGAGAAATTGCAATTTTGCATATTAATTTTTTTTTTTTTCATTTTTAATTTTTCAATTTCCTCCTTAATAAATACAAGTATAATCTAGATTTTTAAAACTACTTTTTCAATCCATTTTTGATAATTACTTTTAATTTATATATCGATAAGACAATGAGATCTTGGCCTAGTGGTTAAGATTGAGGTTCTATATATCACTTTAAAACATTTTCAGTGTTGAAGACAATAAAGAGAGCGAGGGTGGTCTACAAGACATAATGATGGATGAGATAATGGATTCCTGAGCCCATACCAGTCACCAGCAATCATGCAATCTACTTTTACTATAGCCACGTCTTGTTGTAAGCCATAAGAAGTGTCGGTACTCTATGTAAGTTTTCCCCTATATAAACTGCATTAGGCAAAGAAGTGAAGGCAAGCTTGAAGTGAGTTTGCTAGAGCATTTCTGTATAATAGAGAAGTCCTCTAGAGAAAATCCTCACCTTAAGAGATAGATTGGTTCTCCATCTCTTTTAAAGTAGAGAAAAACTATAATTTCTTGTCTAATTTTATTATCATTTACCAATTTAATTAGATCATGCTCATTGATGGTAGACCTCTAAAACTCTACACCTACAATCTCCAATCAAAACAAGGAGCTCATCCACACTTGCTTTGTATTGCCTATTATGTTCTTATATAATACTTTTTGAAAACCTTATAGTTTTCGCTAAAATTAAAAAAAATAAAAATAAAAAATAAGGTTATCAATTGCCTCCCTAGATTAATTTTTCAACCAATTTCATTCACACTTCAAAGTTATTGTCTTGTGTTCTTGTATGTTCTTATATAATAGCCTTTGAAAACCTTATAGTTTTCGTTTAAAAAAAAAAAAAAAAAAAAAAAACCTTATAGTTATCGATTGGCTCCCTAGATTAATTTTTCAACCAATTTCATTCCCACTTCAAAGTTATTGTCATGTGTTCTTACATTTGGATTGAAAAGAAGGATTTAGTCTCCATTATTTAGTTGCTTCCCATATTTTTTTTTAGCACTACTCTATGGATAACTGATATGAAGTATTTTAAAAAGGTTAGTAGTTTTGAATTATAGTGTAGCTATAAACCTTTTATTTTCCACCCTCGATTCTTTTGCCTTTTTTTCCTTTTTCCCTCTAAACTTTTATACACTGTGAAAAATAATCTCATTATTTTTATCAGATATAGATGAGGATCAATCCAAATAAAGATTCATTTCATTTTCTCTCTGATCCTATTATTCTCTAAGATAATTTTCATTATGCGCCCTAGAATCATTTAGACCAAACTCATTCAACTTACTATAAGGGATTTACATGCAATGACATAATGATATGTTACTAGGAAATTTATGGCCTACTCGAGTAAGTTGTCTTCACATTACTTTCTTTGTAGTAGAGGTGATAAAAAAATCAGGTTGGGCCTTAACATCAAATCTCGTGCCCAAACCCATAACAATGTAGTAGGTTTTTTGGGCTTTTTTCGGGTCGGGTTCAGATTTTTAACTAAAAATGTGTTTTTAGGCTTGCCCAAATCCGCTCTATTTTCGGATTGGATCGGGCTGAGTTCGGATTTTTAACTAAAAATGTGTTTTTAGGCTTGTCCAAACCCACCCTATTTTTGGGTCGGATCGGGCCGGACTAGTGGGCCGAGCCAATGTTGATCACCTCTACTTTGTAGCATGGGTGCTTATCCTTGTAATATTTAATAATACATGAATCACACTTTAATAATTTTATCTAATTTATCTTATCCTCAAAATCAATCAAATGAGACTTTGTCAGAAATACTTTCAACAATAGGAAATAATACATTCTTCGTAAAATAAAAAATACAGAGTAATACCAATTGAGTGCAACTACCACGAGCCCATCTAAACCCGACACGATGCACATCGATAGTCCAAATTCATGCAACGAAACCATTGTTAAAATTTAGCACAAGCCTAACTGGTCCATCTGTGCATCACCTTGCTTGATTTAGCATAGCACGTGGTTTGAGCTATGTGCGTTTAGAAGGCCACAAAGGGACTAACACGACATTTTTAGTTCATTATAGACACAACTCACTCGAATACAAGACCCGCTTCCCTAAAACATGAACTTACATGACCTTACCCATTCAACTCAGCCTCCATTATTTAGTTCATACTCCGTACCCTCCTAACTAAAACATGAAAACCACAAACTTAAATACTTGATACAGTTTGACCTGACGTGACCCGAACCTACCCACCCCACTTGACCCCCCATACGGCCATACCCCAATATATGGTTGATTAATCATCAACCCTTGGACTTCATGTTTTAATCAAAGAAAAACGAATCTATCCATTTCCTAGTCCTCCCACACCACGAGCTCAAGAAAATGGAAAAACGACAATACCAGAAAGAAACGTCATATCCAGTAACCCCAAAAGCCGTCATCGCCTAATCCTGCAACTTCCTCAGACACCCACACCATATATATCCTTTCTCTCTCCTCCTTTCACCTCTTTTTTTTTTTCTGCAACTCAAATTCACCAATCATCTTCTTCATTCTCCACTTTCTCTCTCCTCTTTCTCGCATTTTCTCTCTCTTCAATTTCCAGAAACCATTAACAATGTTAGTGCTATCTTCCTCTACTCCTCCCGTTCTCGAGCTCCTCAAAGATAGTGTTTCTTCTTCATCGGCGGCGTCTTCTTCGGCGTTTTCTGAGGTGGTTCTTCGTCGGAGTTTTTTCACTCGGAGTAACTCTTCGTTACTATGTTGCTGCTCTTCCAAGCTCAAATTAATGGCGGATGCTGCTGTTCCGTCGTCTTCTTCTGTTTCTGCTTCTGATTCTGATTCTTATTCTGCTTCTGAAGAGGATAATTGCAAGATTCCACTCAAGAATGATAATGAGAATCAATCTCTTCGTTCTCGCACTTACCTTGATGTTCGTTCTGCTGAAGGTGTATTATCTTTCTAAAAATTTTTCGTGTTACTTCATTTTATTGCTAGCAATGAAGAACTTCCACAAGTTATTTGCGTGTTATGTTGATTAGTTTATTGTTATAACTGAATGCCTGAAATGTAGATGACTGCTGAATTGATATTTGATCATTTTTGGTGTCCAATTCAATGTTGATTTGCTTATGAAAAAATCGGCGACAAGTTTCTGTTGAATTAATATGCAGTTTTCTTTTGTTGATATTTTTGTTTTCTATAATTTGATTAATATGTTGCAATGTAGAGTTTGTTGATTAACATCTAAGCGTTATTTTCCGTTTATTTGATCGGAAAATTTTGAGACAGAACAATTAATTAGTGTCCAATTTAGTGTGTTCTTTGCTAATGAAATAAATTGGAGACAATTTTCTGCTGGATTGATATGCAGTTTCTTGATTAATTTACAGTTATAAGCAGTTTCTTGAATCATTTAATATGCTAAAATGTAGATTGCTGTTGGATTAGTATATGAGCGTTTATTTATTTATTTTTTTTTCTTTCTCTTTATCCGATTAGATTTTTTTTTGAGACGGATTAATTATTTTTTGTGTTTTTTTGTTGATGAAGAAATCGGAGACAAGTTCTTTATCCTTTGTATTGCAGGATTCATATGCTATTTCTATATAAGTTTATTGGCACAAACAATTTCTTGTTATTTTTTTGTCTATAACTGGTTTATATACTAATTGATTGATAATTGAACATTTCTTTTCCTGCTCTGTTTGTTGTTTACTGGTGTACTGTAGTGATTAGAGAATTCGAAGCATATAACAAATAACAATGTGGAATTTAAGAAAGAGAGAGAAAGATGTCCTTTGTTGGTTCACTTATTAGGATGAAATAATTTTGAATGCCTATGCGCTTTAGTTCATTATTTACTTGAACCGCATAGTTCAAGATTGTTGCTGACTTGCTGTTTTTCCCATGAAGCATATGATGTAGAGTAGATTCCTGCCTCCTAATACAGTTCACAAGTTTTCCTTTCCTCTCTGAAATATCTGAATTGTTTCTAGTGCTCTAACTTCTGAAAGTAGCATCACTCTAGGCTTTCTGTTGAAATGTGAAAGGATGAGTGTCGTACTAGAAAGTAGAAACATTCCTAACTTTACTTGGATAAGTAATGACATTCTCTTTGGAAGTGAGTGACCACTGCCTAATTGCTTAGGAAGTATGATATAGTGGAGATTAGCTAGAGTTCATTTTAGCCAGCTCAATTATTGATGAGTTCTTGTGCTTTCACATGTACCAATACTTTATAAGTGGAGAGAGAAGGGAAAATTTGCAACTTGTACGGCTGTATGTATCTTCTTATATCATGCTTTGATTGCCTACCATTTATTAGCTGGTCTGGTACAATAGCTTTATGGTTAATTGTAGTGAGCAATATTTTTTCCTTTCCTTTCTTTTAAAATCTAATTGTGCTTCAATAAATAACCCAACAAATGACCATTTTGATTTAAAGTTGAATCACAATTTAGAAAAGAAAGCCTAGGTTTGTGATGGATTCATGATGGTATATTCAATAGATTTCAAGATGTTCTTAAGTGAAAGGGGATGCTTCTTTGGCATGATATATGGTACTGGGCTCAACCTTTAAAGCTCCAAGCTCCACATTTTTTTTTTCCCTCCTCCTGATTAAAATTCTGTCCAAGATGAAACTTAGATGTAATGATGACTTGACTGTATTGTTGAACGTCAATGAAGTCTCTTTTACTGTTAAATGCTTCTTTAGTTTTTGACTACCCATCTAAGGACTGTCTGGGAAGTGGGAACCCAAGGCACTTCCTGTGCAGTTTGAGAAAGGATTCCTACTTCCCTATGTAGGATGTTCTTAAGGGAGGGATTTTTTCAGGTTAAGATGACTCCGCTTTTGTTGCCTGTTTCGTTAAGTGTATCTCTATACTTAGCCTTTCGTTTTCTTTCGTAGATGACAACTGTATGCAGTTAAGCATGCTTGATCTCTGTAATGTCTAGTTGTTGACCTTGTTGTTGTAGGGTTGTGGACTAAAAGAGCAAGTGACAAGTTTAATACTGTTTTTCAGAGTTTCTTAACAGTTCCTCCCTCTTCCCTCCCAATGAAAATACTTATAACCTTTAAATCATTGAGTTGATTCCCATATTTTGCAAAGTGTTTTTTGGGTCTATTGTTATATTATCATACAATGAAGAAATTTTGTTAAGTACTTTTCCATTGTGAAGTGTCTGCTACTGTGCTATGTTTTGACACATATGTATTGATAAAGTTTGTCTAAACCTTAAAATCGGCATTCGTAAGACCAAGGAGTCTAGACTTCTTTTTTTCTTTTATATTTATTTTTTATTTTTTTATTTTTAATTGGGTATTGTGATATCTTCCCTTAATGATTTGTATATCCCTGCAGAGCTGATTTCTGGAATAAAAAGAGAATCAGAAACTGGAAGGTTGCCTAAAGGTGTTACTGCTGCAGTGGAGGAACTTTTTCACTACTACCGCAACGCAGTAAGTTATATTATTGATCAATTCATTCCCTGGAATGCTATCTGTAGCCATTTTTGGAAATTGGGTTATATTTCTTCAAACAAATGGAAAATTTCTGCTGTTATGAATTTCTTTTGTCTGATTGGATGTGAGCATATGTTGCATTACCCTATGTCCATCTTTCATCAGACAGTAAAATACATTCTACAGTTGCATGAAGCTTGTCTCCTTGAAGCCCTGGGATTGCGTAGCAGTATTTACAATGTTTAACTAGTTCTTAAATTAGAAATTCTCTTCTGCTCCTCGAATATTTCTGGCAGACTCTAGTTTCCTTATTAATGCTATTTCACAGTTAACCCAATTTGATTCCTGTTTCCCAACTTCGAAGTAGAAGTGCAAAATTGTTTTACATATTTCCTAGTCAAGACTTTGAATTCTCCTTTTGGATTTAATTCTGCCTTTTGCTATTTTACCACTTGGAGAAAAGTATGCGATTATGTGAGGGCATGGAAATTTTTGATATAACCTTCTTTATATTCTTATCAGGGAGGGGGGTGCTTATTGCTTTTAAGTTTTGTAATGGACAAGACTCAAGAAACATTAAACATATCCGTATTTCCTTAATTCTGAAAATCTGAATATTGCACAATAAATGTCAAAATGGGGAAAAATTGGCACATTTAACAGCCTGCTATAAGCCTGTACTTATCTTTCCTGTAATAGCTTACACTAGTTGCTAAATATGTCAGCAGTCTCTCTGTTATCGCATTGACATGGCTGCGTACATCTGACTCCCTTTGCCTTGCCTGGACGAAAGATTCTTTAGAGGCATTAGAGTAATTTTTTTACTTTTTCCAAAATAAATAAATAAATAAAATCTTATTGGGGAGACAGGAAAACCTGTTGGATGAACTAAATTTTGTTTTTTCTATACTTCCTGTTTGCAATTCTGATGATGATAGAGAGATTAGATACTTATATCCTGTAGCCTGTAGATTAGTTTGAGTATCTATTTAGTGGTGTTGAGTTGTGACATCTGTCAACTGGTTTAACTTTTCAGGTCCTTTCAAGTGGAATTTCTAATGCTGATGAACTAGTGTTGTCAAACATGAAAACTATGCTGAATTTTGTGTTAATGGATATGGAGGTATTCTATGGTCTAATCTATTGTGGTCATTGATTTGTCAATGTTCTTATGTTATATATCCACTTGTGATTGGTAGACATCAGATCGTTGTTTATAATCGCCCAAAATATTTATCTATAAAAATAACATTTTTATTATATGACGGGAATTATGCACCACTCAGCTGCTTATATGGTTAGTGGTTTTAATATATTTTACAGGACCCTTTTGTATTTCCACCGTATCACAAAGCTATTCGAGAGCCTATTGACTATTATTCCTTTGGTCAAGATTACATTCGTCCATTGATTGATTTTGGGTGAGTTAACCTCCTGTCTTTCTCTTCGTGGCATCATTATTTTATAACAGTATTTGACTTATGACGTGAAAATAGTTCATATATTCTCTTCAACATAATTTAACATGATTTTATTTAAAGAGAATGTTATACTTGTCTGATTACCTAGTGGATATTGCGCTTGTTTGATTAAAAAAATTTATAAATTATGATGTTGTGGTTATTACATAATGTGGCTGCTGTTTGATTCAATGGAAGTTATTGATTTAAACATAATGCCTTTGATTAGTTTCAAATATGACTGAAAGTCTAAAAGTGCAAATTGCATTGTGCTTAAAGTGGAGGTGCATTCTGGTCTTCTGGATATTGTTTTAGAAGAAACCACGGACTACTTTTGTAGGATATACTTCTGTAGTGTTTGGCATACTGTGTTGTTTTAGTCTGTTTGATTCTTTGGGGGGTGGATTGATTAAAAAAAAATCAGCACAAGCATGTCTAGCTTTGGGGTTATTGGCTCAACCAATTCTTGATCCTTATTGTCATTGTTTCATTTCAGAAATTCATACGTCGGCAATATCACCCTTTTTCATGAAATGGAGGAGAAGCTTCAGCAGGTATCTATTCTCAAATCTCTTTGTTTCTCAGTCTTTTTTAGGCTGCTCTACCTGAGTGATTAAAGTAGTAGATAGGAAGAAAGTGTTAAAAACTTCAATCATATGGCCATTAATTGTTGGGGATTCTTTTTGGATGAATCTGAAACTTTCAGACTGAAAGGTACTATTTGGGGCCTAATGATGTGATTTAAGAGGAGGAAGTAATGTGCATTTTTATATTAGCCAATATCCTATGTGTAGAAATTTGACCAAGGATACCAGATTCAATCGTAGGATACCCTTGGTAATAATGACGTTCTTAAGATATTATAAACAAGATTGTGTATGTGCCTTGATAGTGGAGAAATGTACCTGTAGGTGTAGTGTCATGTCTTTTAAATATATATATTTCTTCATAGCAAGGAGGCCCTATATAACGTTGTGCTTGCTACATCCTATACCAGCAACTTGTGCATTTGATAAATTCCTGGTAAAGATTCCCATAATGTTGCAGCTTCAATATCCTAGCTGTAATGTGCAGGGGCATAACATTATCTTAATGTCCAACCATCAAACTGAAGCAGATCCCGCCGTGATTGCATTGCTTCTGGAGAAGACAAATTCACTCATCGCAGAAAATCTGGTGACATCAATATGCTATTTGTCAAATATGTAATTTGCACCCTTTATTGTGCATTATTTTTTCAAAGCTTACATGGAAAGGGTGTAACTTTTATATGCTGCAGATCTACATAGCAGGCGATCGAGTTGTAACTGATCCTCTTTGCAAACCCTTTAGCATGGGAAGGTGATCTGATATGCTCTATCTCATTGTTTAAGGAACCCTGTCTACTTTTTGATGTTTAGTTGTCATCTATTTCTCTTTTGTTTCGGTTCAGGAATCTTCTTTGTGTTTACTCTAAGAAGCACATGCATGATGTTCCCGAGCTTGTTGATGCAAAGAAAAGAGCAAATACAAGGAGTTTGAAAGAGTTGGCCTTACTTTTAAGGTAATTAGCACAACTTTGGATTCAGCTTCATTGTTCATGATGAAACTAGAACTTCTATTTGTAATTTTGTTGATCTCTGGATGAAGCTTCGAATTGCGCATTAGCTCTTAATAGTGAAGGGATTGCAAATTTCTATCCCATGTGGCCATGTTCTTTGTATTTCTTTCTCGTCCATGTTGACATATGGTTTCTGAAATGTTTGGAAGACCGGAAGCAGTGAAAAATTGGGAGAAACTTGATTCATAAATGATCAACTATATGAATATGGTTTGTTCATGGGGCTATTAGCACAGTGTATATTAAATAGAAAAGGTCTTTGGACTTAGCTATATGATTATGCTTATAGATGCTAAAAGGTATCTCTGTAAATCAGGAAATCAGGATGGGCATTGAGCATTTAAACTTATATTAGAGCTGCCCAACAGACTTTTTTTTTATGAAAGTGTGTTTGCTCACTTTGCTGGTCTCTATGTGTGGGTTTTTATATATATATATATATATATATATATATATATATATATATATATATATATATATATATATATATATATATATATATATATTTTTTTTTTTTATTTTTTTTTTTTAATTCTCTTTTTTTTGGTGTCTTGAAGTCTGAAATGTAGTCTTTTCCCGTTGTTCTATATTGAATATTTTCTCTTATCTTTTTCTCGTGCTGGGTCTTCTAAATGATATATCTACATCCAGAGAAGGTTCAAAAATAATCTGGATCGCACCCAGTGGTGGAAGAGATCGTCCAGATGCTGTCACTGGTGAATGGTACCCGGTAAGTTTTAATGTTACGTTAGACAGTAAAAATTTAGACCGTTTGCCTTTTCTTCTGACATCTGCACTTGCACTTTTCATACTTTTTTTTTTTTGTGCTGATTGCTGTATACTTATTACTCATAGAATGGGAGATTTTATGCTCCTAATGGATGTTTTGTTTTATTTGTTTTTCATGTAGGAGGCATTATTTGTGCGTAACTTAGTTGCTATTCTTGATATGATCTCCTTTCTGTGTATATATAGAGTATAGACTAGTTCCACTGTGCAAGTGAATCATGAATCTTATTTCTTGCATTTCTTTTCTGCTATTTTACTATGCCATTTATATGATACTGATTGGAAGAGCATCAGGCAACTTTTGATGTCACATCAGTGGATAATATGAGAAGGCTTGTGGAACATTCCGGCGTACCAGGGCATATCTATCCAATGGCATTACTATGCTATGACATAATGCCTCCTCCAGCACAGGTATCTTTATGTTGTTTGAAAAAGCCTGCTTGACTTTGAATTTCTTTAATTTGAAAGCTCACCTTTCCTTCTCTCTGCAGGTTGAAAAAGAAATTGGGGAGAAAAGAGTAATATCCTTTCATGGAGTTGGGTTATCTGTTGAACCAGAGATCAAATACTCTGATATTTCTTTTGGTTGGGAAAACGAGAAAGAGGTTGGTGTATAGTTCAGAAACTCTTGCACTAAGTGGTTCACATAAGATCATAACATGGCAAGGTCCAAAATTGTGATTCTTTTGGTGATTTTACTGCAGGCTAAGGCGGCTTATGCACAAGCATTATATGCTTCTGTGAAAGAACAATATAAAGTCCTCAAAGCTGCTATATATGAAAAACAAGGCTCAAGTGCATCAACGATGGCTACTTCTCTGTCACCACCTTGGACCAGTTGACATCGGTGGCCTTTGCTTTCTTTTTAGGTAATCCTGCTTTATTTTCAGTCAGGAGAATCATAAAATGCCTCTTATAAGCTTGACCCCCCAATAATAAAATAAAACTAATTAGGTGTTCAGAAAAAATGGCTTCTTTGGCAAAACTATGTGCGACTTCTTATGTGTAGTTTGGAGGCGCCAAGGTTTTCTTTCTCCTTTTTGTTCAAATTGATGGTCTTTCTCCTCATTTCACCCTACAAGAGGGTTTTTTTTTTTTTTTTTTTTTTTTTTTATTATTATTATTATTATTATTATTATTAATTTTTGTATTTTCTCGAGATACTTTGTGGCATCGTGCTCACTGCTCACTCCCTTAGTCCCTTTGCCCTTTAAAAGAATGACAAATCTGTTATGCACCAGGATGATACTACCATGCCAACCATGTGTACTACCTATACGATATTATTATGTGCCTCTCATCTGAATTATATTACAGTGCTACAATGTATTGCAATCTGTTTCCCTCTCCTCTAAATCACACCAACTAATTGTGATTGCAGCTTTTAAGAGAACTTGTAGCTTCCCCTGTTGCTGTCCATCATTCTTAAGCACCTTCAAGCGACAATTTTTAGTGTTTTATTGCTTGTGGAGGCAGCATGCTCACTTATTTTTCCTCGAGGGATAGTAGGTGGGGAGGAGATTATAGCTGTCAGCCTATCACTACCATTCCAATTTTTGCTAGGTTCCATTTTCTGAGAATTTTTTTTCTTTACAGGAAGAGGTTTCAAACGTTAATGACCTCTTAGGTGCTCTATTCAGTCATTGTACAGCATTGTTCTTCCGTAAAATGTATATTTCCAAATCTTGTATTGTTTCTTAGGCGAAATACGTTACATTGTTATATTACTGAAATTTTGGTATCAATTTTTGACACATCTATAGTTCTATCAGCCTTCAAATGTGTTTTTGCCTTTGAAATTTAAGTTTGAATACAGGTTGTTTGTACAGTAACCCTTTGATATTTTATTTTTCCCCATTGGTTAATAAAGTATTGCAGTTTTAGACTTAACACGGGAAAAAGTGTTCGATAATGTATTTTAATTTTCATTAACACCTAAAAACACCTACTGTGAATCATGCCTTTCATACAAGTGCGAAGTATTAGATAAATATGGAGTAATTAAATTTTTGAACGAGGTATTATTACTTATTATTGAAAGAATATGAAACTATGAAACAAAAGCAAATTAATATAATGAGAACATGCTTATTATCATAAAGAGTACAACCTATTAATTAAAATAAAAAACGAACAAATAATGGCGGCACTAGTTGCCGGAAAATTCTTGACAGTCTACAGTGAATTTCAGAGGAGTTACATCGATCACTCCCTTAAATTTCACCCTCTTTTAAAAAAAAAAAAAAAAAATGCTAACTTAGTGTAACTAATAAAAGAATAGCAATAGATTTTTAAGTCCTACCCTAAGAAGAATATCAATATTACTAATTTCTTTTTTTTTTTTAGGCTATAGTAACTGCATTATTAAGTTGGTTATTGTCGTTAACAACTTGGAGGAAAACAAAGGCAATCTTTCTTTCTTGTCCAAACCTAAACGACCATAATTGAGCAACATCACCATGTTTGAGATTAATTTTGTTTGTCACATCCCACCAACAACTTTGCAGCACCAGAGTCTTTTTCTCATCCGTATTCTTTGGCCACATTGATAGATTTAGCTCCATCTCTTCTTTGTTTTGCAGTATTAAAGTCACCTTAATATCGCCGCCTTCTTTCAACTCTCTCTTTTCTTCATCGGTTAAAACAAGTCCATTATGCTCGCGCATGTCAGTCTTAGTAAGCAACAATCGATTTTGTTGCCTTTTCACATCCGAAGCAGTAATGTATTTTTGCATTACAAGCTTAGGCACCTCGCCGCGACCACCTCCCATGCCCATTGCTTTCTCTACGAGTTCACTTGGAAGATTCGGGGGTTTAAATTTTGCCTTTTTCTTTTCTTCTTTGCTCGGCCCTGGATTTTTTTGCTTCTTTGGTACCCTTGATGACTTGTTATGGCCTTGTTCCGAAGAACGACCTCTCTTTAGTACCCTTTCTTGATTTTCTTGACGTATAATAAGAGTATTAGTAGCGTTACTACTGCTACATGCTTTATTTTCTTGATGTATAATATGAGAATTATTAGTATTAGTAGCATTACTACTACTACATGCTTCTTTTTCTTGATTTTCTTCATGTATAATAAGAGAATTATTATTAGTAGTAGCATTACTACTACTACATGCTTTTTCAGGGATGATAACCTTATTGACGTTGTCATGATTTTTTTGCTTCTTTGGTACCTTTGATGACTTATTATGGCCTTGTTCCGAAGAACGACCTCTCTTTCGTACCCTTTCTTGATTTTCTTCATGTATAATAAGAGAATTATTAGTAATAATAGTGGCATTAGTACTATTACTACTACATGCTTCTTGACTTTTTCTTCCTACATAAATGTCTTTTCCAAAAAGTTTAATCGTAGTGATAGTATCATTACTATTACTACTACATGCTTCTTCAGGGTTGATGACCTTGTTGACATTGTCATCACTTTTTCTTCCTATAAAAATGTCTTCTCCAAAAAGTCTAAAAGATATCATCATTATTGCGATTGATGATTCTTAGCTAGAAGCTAGTTGAAAATACTCTCAATTATCAAACGGTGACAAAAGAAAAATATTGTTGCAACAAATTGAAAGGGAGAAAACTAAAATACTTGGGTCAATATATAATACTATTAACCGCTTTATTATTTATGGAAATAAGTTTAGGATAATGCTAATGCTAATGCTAGTCCTAGTCCTAATTCTAATTAAAATCGGTTAACTTCATTAAGAGTATATAGATGACACAAACTTCTAAATTTTTTTTTTTGTACAATTATGTTGTAAAGTTGCTAAAATTATCAAACATTATCCAAGTTAAATTAAAATTACCCCAATATAATAAAAGTTATCCAAGTTATCTATGTTTTATTAATATAAGGAAATTTTGTATTTTACCACCCACTAAATACACCTATTTCGAAATTAGCACCCAAAAAAAAAAAAAATTTAAGTTACCACCCATTAAATTAAAAACTAATTAAGTCACCACCTTTTTCATATTTCCGGTCATTTTTCCGGCAGTAGGCCCCACTTTTTTATTTTCCTTTTTTTTTCTTTTCTTTTCTTCACTCGATTTCCCTCTCTTATGATTTTATTGTATTCTACTCTACTCTTTCTCCATTAAATTTCTTCCTCTTTCCTCATAAATTCACTGTCAAATCATAACCTCCCCGCCATTAATGAAAGTAAACCCTTTTTTTTTCTGGAAAAGGGGAACAAGGAAGGAGAAGTCACCGTCGTTGGTAGTTGATAAGGGACCAGAACGTGGGTATTTTTTCTTATTAAAATGCATATCAATACATTAATCATCAATTGTTTAAGACAATTGCACAACAATAACTGCGAAGAACCTTAATTTCATAAAAAAAAACCCCAATTCAATTGAAGCAGGAATCCTAATTTTGAAAACCACCCAATTCAATTAAAGCAAGAACCCTAATTACATAAAGCCCCCAATTTAATTGTGCGAAGAACCCTAATTTAACAAGGAATTGAGCTTACCTGATTGTGAAAGGAGCGTGTGTGTGGGAGATTTCTTCAAATACAACCTTGCAAAATTTGTGAGAATTTGAAGGTAATTGATGAAGAAATTGTGGAGGAGTTTGAAGAGTAGTTTAAATCGCGGGGAAAAAAAAGAAACAGGGTCAAAATAGTCGTTATGTGGGGCCCACTGCCGGAAAAATGATAAAAAATATGAAAAAGGTGGTGATTTAATTAGTTTTTAAATTTAATGAGTGGTAATTTAAAAAAAAAATTGGGTGGTAATTTTAAATGGGGGTATTTAGTGGGTGGTAATATACAAATTTCCTTAATATAAAGCTAAATTCTTTTTTTTAAACGAATAAGAATAATTAAATCTTACGTACTGAGTAGTAAAACTTATCTCATTGTCTAGCTATTTATATTAAAAGTTAACGTTATCCCAAATTAGCTCAAAGTTACCCTAAAACTGTTTGATCCATGTACAAACTCCCTAATATCATTGTAAAACGAACTTAGTACGCAAAAGTTTTTGTTAACATGATTGAGATCATTAAATCCAAAATTCCTCCTTTAATAATCACAGGTCTAAAAAATAAGTTCCTTTTAAATTAAAATAGTCATTTTTTTATTTTTTTGACGAATAAAATAATCATACTTAGCTTGTATGGAACAAGAACTAATTAAAATCAGGGAAGGGTGATAGTATTAGTACAATTTGTATATAAACTTCCAAGGGCTACATGCCTACATATAAGATATAACAAAACCTTACGATGACGGTGTATATGACTAACGTTGGGCGATATCATATATAAAGACCGTCAGCGTCGTCGTAGTAGTGTCAAGATTGTTGCAGTACTGGATTCCGTGTAATAGACTAATATAGTGTGTGTGCTTATTATTGATAAAGGATACCACTATACGAAATAGAACAATGAGTTGTTAATTAAAGAGTTTCGTATGAATTTGTTCTAAAAAGAACATTATTAATTTCATGTTGATTGAAGGATCTTGAATTTAATATCGAAATGAACTTGAGTAATTGTAAACTGATTCTGGTAAGCTAGAATCAGAGGAAAATGGAGAGAAATAAAAAGTTAATTTGGGAATTTTTATTATGTGAAAATCTGGGAAAGCTTTACAACAATATACAGTATATATAGTTAGTTACAAGCTCTAAAGAAAATCTGGGAAAGCTTTACAACAATGCAGACTGTTGAAGAATAAAACCTTCAAATATCATTTTCTCCATCGCATTCAGTAACCAGGATTGCACCATATAGTCATTGCGAACCCATTTCTGAAAATCGCCAGTATCAGAAGCAGGTCTTCTGCAAGTTCCATCAATGAAACAGAGTTGCATGAAGCATTATTTAATTTGTTGTCGTCAAAAACTTTGAGGAAAACAAACCCAGGCTCTCTTTTATCTTGTCCAAACCTAAACGTCCATAATTGACCAACATCATCTTCTTTAGGATCAATTTTGTTTGTCACCTCAATCCAATCACTTTGCAGCACATAATTACGAGTACTCTCATCCAATTCACTATTCTTTTTTGGCCACTTTGATAGACTTAGGTTCACCTCTTCTTTGGTTTCCCATATAACAATCACCTTAATATCGCGGCCTTGATCCAATTCTCTCTTTTCTTGATCGTTTAATAACATACATCCATTAACCTTACGCATGTCAGTCTTGGAAATCAATAATCGTTTGTGATGTTCACTTACATCCGTGACAGTTATGTATTTTTGCATTACGAGCTTAGGCACTTCATCGGTCAAACCCTTTACTTTCTCTATCAGTTCACTTGGAAGATTCGGTTGTTTAAAATCTGTCTTCTTCTTCTGTTCTTTGGTTGGCCTTGGATTTTTTTTTGCTTTTTTGGTTTCTTTGATGTATTTTCGCTTTCTTCCCAAGAACAACTTCTCTTTGGTACCCTTTCTTGATGCGTTATAAGAGAATTATTATTAGTAGTGAATGTACCCTTAGTACTTTTACTCGTACTAACTGTTTCTTCATTAGTGATATGATTCATATGAACAACCTTGTCGCGGTCGTTATTATTATAAATGTCTACACCAAAAAGTCTCATCTTAGAAGCTAAAGTAGTATTATGTTGCAATGTAGTAATCTGTATTTTGATTGAGAGAGAGGAGGTTTTTTGGCTCTATATGTAATACATGAATTCTAAACCGTTTTGTTTTATTTATGGAAATAAACTTGATATCCAAGTCTTAGATGTATAATAATCCTAAACCTAAGCTAATCCTAAATATCTAACTCTAACCCTAACCCTAATCCTAATCCTAATCCTACCCCTAATCAGATAGGTTAGCACCACGTTTGCAAATCCTTGTTCAAGTTAAACTGTTCAATTTTTTTATTTGGATCAACAAAATAAAAATAGGAAATATTAATAAGTTGATATCAAATTGGAAGATTGAGTTGGATAGGTTGTAATTTGACTTCAAAAAATAAAATTTAAAAGGATAGAAATCTGATATCGGTTTGTCAATTTTCATATTTTAACTGCCCTCCTTAATGATACTTCGTATATCTTGAGACACGGTTTGAAAATAATCTAGATCGCACTCGGTGGTGAAAGAGATTATTTGTGAAAATAGTATTGTACACCCGGGTGCACCATGCGCATGGTGCACCCGAAAGGCGGAAAGAACATATTGTTATTTGACAAAGAACATATTCGTGTATGACAAAGAACATGCTTATATTTGACAAAGAACATACCTATATATGTTTGATAATAAGTTCTTCTATACTTGTGTTATTTAACATATGTTGATTAAACATGTTTTTTGGATTTCAATAATACAAAATATGTTCTTTGAATTTGGCTCGTATGTTCTTTAAATTTGGCTCTCTTTTTTTTTTTTTTTTTTTTTTTGACTGGCTCGTATGTTCTTTGAGGTAATGAGTTCTTTAACGTATGTTCTTTAACTCATGTTATGATATCTTTGGTAAAAAAAAAATTCCGTCAATGTGTAATTTTCATGAAATTTTAATAAAGTTTTTATCATGTTCTTTTTGTAATGTCTTTATGTTCTTTAGTAATGCATGTTCTTTGTTAAAAACAAACATGTACTTTTTCAAACACCTAAATGTTCTTTTTCAAACACCTAATGTTCTTTCCGCTTTTTTTTATTTATTTAACCGGGTGCATAGACCATGCATTAGATTGGTTGGATGCTAGCACTGGTGAATGGTAATGTTGTCGTCTCTGTCTCATTTTACTTGCTTCACTTTTAACAAAATACTCTCATAAAAATTGGTCAAACAGGAGCATGCTAAATAAAATAAGACTAAGGCATTTTTCACTTCACTTTAAAAAAAAATTACTCACATTCAGTAAAAATAAGTTCCTAAAAAAATACTCGCAATCAAAGTAAGCCTACTAAGGTCGACTACGAGAATATACACAATAAACAACAACAAACCAAACATGGCCAAAAAAAAAAAAAAAAAAAAAAGAGCTCTAAGGCAGACGTTTGCACGAATGCACAATGCACCATGCACCAAGTTATTGTTTGCTCAAACACAATTTAATGTAACATGAAATCACACAATAGAAAGAGCATTTAGACTTGTTATGACTTAAACTTGAATGACAACCTTACCAGCATTGGAACTGGTAAAAAAGTGAAGCCATGCTATCTAAAAAGCTTTCAATACCCTTGTTAATTTTAAGTTTTGAGCTTAGTTTTTGTTCCTTCAAATATCCACCCACTTCTGTTGCAAATTCCCCAAATTGATGAAAATATGACCGTAACATGAAGCCTTGCATGTGAACTTCCTTTCCCACCATATTCAATAGATTTCTCACTCCTTCCCTTTCTGTCCAAACCTGTTTAAATCACATAGTTAATAATAATTTACATGTAATTATGCATGTAGAACTCTTCAATTTTTGTAGAGGCTATACCAATTCGACATATAATTGTAATACACCGTGCATAAATAGGCAAAATTTGTACACTATGAATCACAACAACACGAGGTGATTTTATCAACTAACAAATTAAAGACGGTTGCAAATCACCCTCGACTTATTTCCACTTCAGTTCAGTTTAAAAGAACAGATCCTAATGCTCCTTTCATTTGCAAATCAAGAATAAAAATTATAGAAAGTACTCCGTATATACCTTATTGTATTGGGAAATCATTCCGCAAAGTGGAATACGCGCATATGTATTAACATGATTGAGAACAGCCTCAAGAGTTCTGCCTCCCACATTCTCGAAGTATATATCAATTCCATTAGGGAAGTACCTATAAAATTAATTTAGAATAATTAAAAATCATTAGTGAAAATAAAAAGATATTGTGTATATGTAATACTCCTCAAATTAATTACTTGCTTAAGGCAGCATCAAGATCTGTTTCTTTCTTGTAGTTGAATGCATCATCAAATCCAAATTCTTCCTTCAATAATCTCACCTATAAAAAAAAATTCGTTTAAATTAAAATATAATAGTCATACACTCATACTTGTACGGAATTAGAACTAATTATAAACTGGGAGGGTAGACGGGATATACATACTTTCAAGGACTACGTATAACAAAACCCAATTATAAAAACGCACCTTGTCATCAGATCCAGTGCTACCAATGACGCGACAACCTTTGATTTTAGCCAATTGACCAGCAATCATCCCAACACCTCCAGCCGCGGCAGAAATGAACACATTCTCCCCTGCCTTTGGCTTCCCTATTACTTGTATTCCTACCCATGCTGCCAGTCCTGGTATTCCTGCACATTTTTCCCAAATACTTTATATGATTAGGCATTTCCACTCCGATTTTATGACTTGCTCATCAAAATTGTACTCCCTCCGCCTTTTCAATTAATTAAGAAGAATTGAACAAATAGAACGAGGGCAGGGTCAATTAAAAATAAAATAAAACATAGAGACAGAGGGAGTATGTAGTATAAAATCATCGTACCAAGCACATTGAGATACTCCGAAGGGCTGACCCCTAAGGCAGGATCAATTTTAGTAGTCACAGCTTGAGAGGGTATTACACTATACTCAGCAACTGGCATTTCTGAGCAGACCACCAAGTCACCCTCCTTATATTTGGCATCTTTTGATCTAATTATCTTCCCTACTCCATATGATACAATAACCTGCATTTAAATTCCGTTTTTCCCAATTACTATTATTGTCGAAAGTAAGAAAAAAGTAACCGTAACTCTAAAGATCAGAGTAAGATAAATACTAAGCTTAATAAATTGAACTGAAAAATTCTGCAGAGAAGTTCAAAAGAACAAGGCCTAAAAAACTTAAAGTAGCGACACTATAACATTTGATAAAACCAAATGTATATTTTATAGTGTCTATTTTATAGCAACAAAGAGATCAAATGGCGTTATTTAATAAAAAGTCATACGACATCTATGATTAAAAAAAACCTGGTTAATGGGATACTGGGACACATTAAGACCATCCTCTTCGACACCAGTCATTCTTGAGCGCAAATATGGATCAACTGAGATCCAAAGGCTCTGAATAGCAACATGATTTTCGGGGATGGAATCGACGGCTAAGGATAAGCTCACAGTTCTGAGCTTAAGATGATCCGACGATGGTAGACCGTCTCTAGCGTAGGCTGCCATGTGCCATTCTTTACTCTGTACCACCTCCATTTCTTTGAAAACTCTCTCTAAATCATACACAATATAAGCACTAATAAATCTATACTACGAGTAATAATAAGAGATATATGGTGATAATTGAAAAGGTGAAAAAAAAGGAAAAATATCTTCATTTTGTGCTTTCATAATCATTCGTAATGAGTTGTTATAATTGCATCAATTTAGAACCACGCGTATTGTTTCACATCTTACCAAGTGTACTATTTTTTTTTTTTTCTTCTTTTGACACATACCGAGTGTACTAATCTTTTTACACATACCAAGTGTACTATATATTAGACCAGGCAAATGGGTCATTCGGGTCAGGTCAGGTCTGGGTCGGGTCATTTTGGGTCGGGTCAAATAGGTATCGGGTCAAGTTCGGTTCAGGTCGGGTCATTTCGGGTTGATTTTGGGTTAACTAATTATCTGGTCGGGTCGGGTATCGGGTCAACACTTCGGGTCGAGTTCGGGTCGGGTCATTTTTCGGGTCGGGTCAATTCGGGTCGGGTCGATTTTCGGGTGCAAATTTCGGGTCGAGTCATATTCGGGTCAGGTCATATTCGAGTCGATGTACTGGGTTAAATTCAACTCTGTATATATATTTATTTATTTTTTGACAAGAAACTCACTATATTTTTTAAGGCTACTTTTTTCATGGAATATACTCATATAGTAATTGTGAGACTTTTGTTGACCTTGTTTTTTTTTTTTTTTGGTGTTTAGATTGAGAATCAATTTCAAGATCTCTTGAAACTAAGAGGGATGCTCTAACTAATTGAGTTATAAGCTTATACGAGTTATACCTTACTCTTTTATTGTCCTTAGTTTTAATACTCTTATTATCATTGTCACTGTTTACTGTTGTAATATTTATTTGTATTATTCTTATAATAATCTATAATATAATCTATGTTTTTTAAGTGCTCCATTAATTTTAACTGGACATACACTGATACATGTATGCAGGCATGTCGTGCAAGAAATTGATTAATAATAGACTTCCTATTATAATAACTTACGAATTTTTAATAACTTATAAAGAGGAAGACCAAAGAAATCGAGAAAAGTAATGCTCAAAATATGTAAATTACTTACACTGTTAGTTTGTTACACATTACAAATAAAAAAAATGAAGCCAGTTTGATTGCGGTTATTTTCTATTTCGGTTTGCTCAGGTTAAATCGTTAGCTTAAAAGCTTAAATAGATTCTGGTCATTTCAAGTATAAGGTAATCTTAGTTCGAGTCACTTTGGATTTCGAGTCTATTTGGGTCAATTAATCCAAGTTAAAGATCGGGTCGAGTTCGGGTTTCGGGTCACTTCGGGTAACGGGTCAACTTCGGGTCGGGTCAACTTCGGGTCGGGTCACTTCGGGTTTCGGGTCAAGGTCGGGTCAATTCCACTTCGGGTCGGGTATGGGTCGGGTTGCTTTGGGTTTCGGGTCAATTTCGGGTCACTGTATTCGGGTCAATTTCGGGTCATGGGTCGGGTCATCGGGTCTGGGTCAAGTTTGCCAGGTCTACTATATATATATATACTAGGTTAGGTCCCGTGCCATGCACGATAGTTTTTAATAAGTATTCTTATATTAAAACAATATTTTATTATAAAACATAAATTTATCTAAAATATCATAAAAGAGCCTATTAGCCAGATAGATATTTTAAAATAGGTATTTTAAAATACGTATTTAACAATATTATATTTTTCTATATTTCACCAACAAATTGATGTCATTTTTATCTTGTTAACCAAGTGAATTTTTTCAAACTATGTATTAACCCGTGAAAAGATTTCTTTTATACACACTATTAATTCATTTTCTTTTACGTAAATATTTTTTTAATCAATAATCAAGCAACTTAAAATATTATTCTATATCTTTCATGTCAAATATATATTTTTTTTTTTTATTATTCAAGATTTCTAATTACTTTCTTGGAGCTTCTAATATATAATATAATAAAAGTATTCAAAAAAAAAAAATGTAATTCTTGTTGTAATAATTGTAGTACTTAACACTCTGTATGACTCAAATCATGTTATAAGTCCCGTTAAAAAAATGTTATAAGTCCCATATAAAAAATTTGTTGTAAGTTTGATTTTTTTTTTTTTTTTTTTTTTGGTCAATATATTATATGGAAGTTTATATCAAATGTATTATTTATGTAAAAATTTGTAATATTTTATTTATGTATAAAGATTTGCTTCCTAAATAGATTTTTTAGAAAAAAAAAACTAAGGGACATATCAGAAAATGACACGTGTCATTGTTGGTGTGTCTTTTAGTATATAGTTATTGATTTTTTTTTATTTTTTTTAATAGAACCAAGTGTACTATTTTTATCAAGGAAAAACTTATAACATGTGAAAAACGAAACGATTGACCTTTTGCTCATGTGGGGTGTAATAAGGCTTAATTAAGCTGGCTTTAAAAAAAAAAAAAAAAAAAAAAAAAAAAAAAAAAAAAAAGCTTAATTAATCTAGAACTTGTATTTTTTTTTTATTATTTTTTTAATGGTAAGATACGAAGGAGGGTCCCTCATCCTTATCACAGATTCACAGGAATGGGGGGATGAGAAATCGAAACCCTATCAACCATCCCTCCATCTCTTAGATTCTCTTGTTATTTAATTTCATGCAAAACACCTTATGTGACCTAATCTATACTTTCGTAGATGATAACTTTGATTTCGGGAGGTAATAAGTCGTGTAATGAATAATAATTGATGATGATGTTGATGTTGCCCATGTTGGTGTTTGAGTTATGATGTTGGACGATATCATAAAGGCTACTAGTCGTAGTCTCAAGATTGTTGCGAACTGCGATACTTGTTTTCTTTAGTGTGCTTATTGATGAAGGATACCACTTCACAAATCGAATTAGTTGTTAAAGCATTTCATATACGAAGTAGATTTCTTCTCAGAAAGACATTATATCATATAGATTGAGAGGTCTTGAATTTGAGAATTCAAGTATTCAACGATTGATCTTTCTATTTAAAGAACATTAGATAATACTCCATATTGTTTTTGTATACTATTCACCATAGAAGAAAACAAAAAGGTAAAAACAAAAAAAATGGTCGTATATTAATGAAACTAAATGATATATACAGTACACACTAACACAGCTATCTAACTGCGAAATCCTTTGGACTCCCAGAGTGAGACTAAAAGTACAAAGCAACAAGGAGATTGGAGACGATATTTGTTCTTATACAATTCACAACTGATTTGTCTTCGCGTATGAGTAGTGTATTACACATAATACATTACTTGGATGTCTAATACAGTACTAGAATAGCTAAACAAAACCCTACCTGAATAGTGTCAAGAACCCATTCAATTGTGATCGCTATAAAACCCCTAGATTGCAGATTTGAATAGCTTTTTGTTGATTCCTCGACATTTTCCAAGGATCACCAATCAAGCAAGCATCTACAACTAACAGTTCATGTTGCAAAGTGTGGCAACGGCTCATGCTAAGTTGTGTTATGTAGGAACTTGAATTCCCTGTCATGTTTATCACACAAAAAAGATTTGATTTCAGAGTCTACTCTTCATGAGCAAATACTCGTTAGACACAAGGAAATATTGTGCCCAACTTAAGCATTTGTTTCTTAACAAATATGAAGTATTGTGCTTAATATAACCAGCTGTCTAACAAGCGGTTAGAGAAGAGACGTACTTTATTGAGCTTCTTGTAAAAAATCAGTTCCACCTCTCGACGAAGAATTTCCACATCCTTTGCATAATCGCTTTGATCTTCCTCCTCCATTAACTGCTGCAGTTGCAGCCTCATTCTTTCCAATGCCTTGTCCAAAGCACAGAAGTCCTTCAAAGCAGAAGCGTCAATCGTTCTAAGTTGTAGAAGACTCTTAATTGCAGCAAGTGCCTGTAGGAGAAAACAACATGATGTTCAATCAACAGCATAAATACAAACATGTTCATAACTTTTTCACGGACCATCAACATCCAAGTTATACTCAACAATATAGGGAGACAGAACAAACAGCTATGTTACATGCACTCGGATACTCATATCAGACACAGATACTAGACACTCCTACTTTAGATTGATTTTCTATTGTTTTTAATCCAAAATGAGGTGTCGAAGTGAAATGCCCAAATGCCAAGGATCCAACAAGGGTACTTGGGTGAAATGAAATTTCTGAACAGCGAAAAACAGAAAGAAATTTGGGGTGTGAATGTTCAACAAGCACATTACAGATTCAGATTCACAAATAACAAAACTAAAAGGGGTACCTTTTCCTGGAGATCAAGGTCATCTGATGATGTTAAATTAACTATTGCCTTCAGAAAAACATGATCTCTGAAAAAGGGAAGCTCTGCCTGATCAGCATTCTCTAATTGGGACTCTGCCAAATCACCGATAAGAAAGACACATTTTCGGCGTAGTCTGATGTCAAAGGTAGAATTGCTAAGTATATCCTGCAAAGAAGAGAGCATTAATGCAACTTTCAAGCCCTCTTGAAATTAAATGCCCTAATGGCCAAGGAAATCCAATTCCCTTTTAGTTCCATTTTTTCCATCAATTTGGCCTTCATTTCTTTAGTATCTTTTCTTTATTTTTTTGTTTCTAGACTAGAATTGAATGAGCAGATAAATAAGGTGTAAGTTGGATAAGCCAGATACCACCAGAATTTATCCTAATTTACCTTAAGTGTCAAGTCTCCAGCTTCCGCGTAAAAATTTTCCTGGCCATTTAAATTGTTTCTGACTAAGGCTGAAACTGCATATAGTGCTTTGTTGGCCTCTTCCACAGCATCAGATTTCACCATCTCCAAGAGCTTCGCCAGTATACCAAAATCCAAAACCTGAAATCCACAAGTAAACTTATCACATAACATGAACAAACATCTTATAACCATTAGTGGGGTTCCCAGTTCATAATGCATTTTTGTTAATGTATAGTAAACACGTACAGCTGTATCCTGCAGCAAAAATGCAGAACTACTTGTAAAGAACAGATAAACTAACCTGCTTCTGAACAACTGGATTGTTCTGACATGCTTTTCCAAGAACCCAAGCAGCAAGTTTCCTTACATCTGGCTCAGCATTGTCAAGCTGTCTTATAACAGCGACAAGACCCCCAAGTTTGTTCAAATCTGTTGAAAAATGACA